TGTGTGCATGCATGCTTTAAGCAATTTTTTTCCCTTGGCAGTGGAGCATTCCCAGACGTAGGTCTTACACCAGTTAAATGCCGCCATTTTGCCTCTTAGTGCACATGCTTGAGCCCAGTCACCCAACTCCTTAGATCTCATGGGGACGCGGCTGATCATCAGTTTCAGGTGTTTCTGTCTGTTAGGGACCGTGTTTCCTTCGTGCCAGCTGCAACCAATTATTGTTTTAGAGCGAGATAGTTTAACAACCATCTGACCTTCACCTGATGGCTGCCTGACATTCCTGGTTCAGGGGGCGCCCTCTCTTGCCTTGCTCATATCTAATACCTACTCTAGCATCCCTACTATGTACAGATGAGGGCTACACCGAGACATTAAAATTAGTCAAAGAGCTGCCCAAGGGCAAACATGCCCTCCACAAAGACAGGTGGTAAGGGAAGAAGTATTGTGATGATATGTAGCAAATGTTTCATTCAGTGATGGCTGACACGCTCATTCCCAGATAACAGCAATAGGTCAAGGCAAACGTATCTAGAAGTTTTCAAAGATTAAAAGCCTTCACATTTCATGTACTTAGAAACAGCTAAGGGGATAAAAAATTATTCCCTAAGAGATAAATGCCTAAGTACATGTAATTCTGTAAGGTTAAAGAGAGCCCAAAAGAAGAGGTAAAATGCTGGCCGGGCATAGTGGCTCACGCCTGCAATCCCAACAATTTGGGAGGCCAAGGTGGGCAGATCACTTGAGGTCAGGAGTTCGAGACCAGCCTGGCTGACATGGCGAAACCCTGTCTCTACTAAAAATACAAAAATTAGCCAGGCGTGGTGGCATTCACCTATAGTCCTAGCTACTCAGGAGGCTAAGGTAGGAGAATTGCTTAAACCCAGGAGGTGGAGGTTGCAGTGAGCCAAGACTGCACCACTGCACTTCAGCCTGGGTGACAGAGTGAGACCCTGTCTCAACAACAACAACAACAAAGAGGTAAAATGTTATCTTTATTTTTCCCTATTCTCTCATTCCTAACAAAAGAAAAGAAAGTGCATGCTGGGCCGGGCGCAGTGGCTCATGCCTGTAAATGCACTTTGGGAGGCCAAGGCGGGTGGATCACGAGGTCAGGAGATTGAGACCATCCTGGCCAACATGGTGAAACCCCGTCTCTACTGAAAATACAAAAATTAGCTGGGTGTGGTGGCACTTGCCTGTAGTTCCAGCTACTCAGGAGGCTGAGGCAGGAGAATCACTTGAACCCAGGAGGCAGAGGTTACAGTGAGCCGAGATTGTGCCACTGCACTCCAGCCTGGTGACAGAGCGAGACTCCGTCTCAAAAAAAAAAAAAAAAAAAAAAGGAAAAGAAAGTGCGAGCTTTTCTCTCCTCATGAAGTCAAAGCTTGACAGTAGCTCAGACTCTTAGGGAGCACACACTCAGGATCTTTGCACGTGTGTCTCAGCATTGTCATTTATAAGCTGACTTTTTAGAGTGGTTTTGGTCTTGTGCACATCAGCACATCATTCATATTTTATACAAAATTGTGATGTGATCAGTATTTCCTCCAACTTCATCCTGAGTGCACTGCGTGCATGAGGGTTTGAAATAGTTTTGTAACAAATAATCATAAATTTAGAAGTACATGACGTAAGCTAATTCGGGTTGCCCAGAATTCCACTTAATTTGATTTATTGCAAAACAAGTACGAAAGTTCATGAATTTGACATGGACATTGTTAACATACTTTAAGTATTTCTAGCCTGTTTACCTATTACGCAACAAGTCCAACATTCCTAGAAGTGCCTATTTTATCTTGACTAATTGTTTCCACACACATTAAAAGGACTCAAGTGAATTGTAGAAATCAATTCTAAAAGAATATGCCCTTTGAAATTATTCTCCATCTGGATACAGACTGTAGGTTAAAGTATACAATGGTGGGGAATCTAAGGTGGAAGGTGACCCTAGAGTTTTCAAACTACAGAGTGAAAAAATCTTGCCTAAAGCTAGGATTCAAAAATACCAAGAGATGAAACTCTTCTTATGTATCCTGTTAACTGGGGCTTGATTCATTTCATTTTCCTTTGGCTTGGTTTAAGACCATGTACTATAGGAATGATACAGTGGCCAGTGACTTTGTTGTCTGACATTTTCAACACCCTTTGTTACTTCTGTCTTCACTGGTGAGTCGTGGATTATTTTATCATCTGGATGCTTAGAACTCTGAGCAAGTCATGTTCTAGAACTATGAGACTAAACGATGAAGAACTTCGCACTGGTAATATGAAAGTTCTGAAAGTGTGTGGTTTTAAAGTGTGAAAAACATGGCAGGTAAGAGCTCTCAGGTACTCTGAACCATAATACAGTCTTTCTTCTCTTCAAAACGTCTACTTCTAAATGGCATTCATTGTGTTTTCTAGTGTTTTTTCTTTTGTGTATGACACTAGTTAACCTATATCTTTTACCATAAAGCTAGGACTCAAATACTAAGAGGTTTGACTCACCTTAGGTGGAACTTTATATAGTACTTTAACGTAGAAATATTTGGAATCAATTTCTGCTGATAAAGGTATCAAAAGCAAGTGATACTAAAACGAGTAGGTTCAAAGTTGTATACTAAATAGAGAGACCTTGGTAAGAGAGAATGAGGGATTTTCAAATATGGTCCAGAAGATAGTCTCTGAAAGGCTAAACCAGCAGTGGTCACTAGCCATGCAGGAAGCCAGTGCTATCTAATCTTACAAATTCTGTTTTCCTGCCAAGTGGCATTTAGGAGCAACTGATAATTTATTTCTTGCCACTTGCTGTTACTGGAGATTTATTTGGTTTTTCAACTCAACTCAGCCCTTAACAAGAAAGCAAGTCTTTGTTGACGGCACAATATTACCAGTATGGCAAAGCTAAGACGAGGCTTCTATGTGATACTGGAAAGACCAGCAAGAATGGATTAAGGAGAGTGATTTTCCATATGCTGTCACTGTGACAGGTACTTTTCTCTATAGACACAGAGGCTAAAAGCAGTTTAGAAGCTGCCTTACCTAAACAGTACATAGTTCAAGGAGATAGACCCTGTGTCCATTGCGTTTCTAGTTTTTGTTTCTAACCCATTATATAAAGGAACATCACAGTTTGCTTTTTAGAGAAAAGTTCAAGTAAGAACCATTCTCTGGTCTTGCTAAGTCTCTTAATTGTGACACAACTGTCCTAAGCAACTGTCCTTGCACAAGAATGTCACTCATCTGCTTCATCCGCCAGCTCCTTGGAGATGAGGGGGGTCTGTGTGTCAGCAGGAGGCAGAAGGCCCTGTGGCTTGTCCAGTGGCCTGATTTCCTTTGTTTGGAGGCTTGGTTCTGAGTGAGAGTTCAACAGCCTTTGCCCAGGCGGCTTCTCAAACACAGGGTGTGGTTTCCTTAGCTCACTCTCTGCTGTTTGGTTGCTCATGGCAACAGGATCCAAATAACTTGGACATGTGTTTGTATAAAAAAAAAAACCTGGGAATGGAACCCAAAGTGAGAGTTTGGGGCTTTCAGTTAGTAGAAGAGCTGCGGTGAGTACTGGACAACTGCTCATTTATTTTCTCTCATTCTTTCTCTCTAAATTACACTGGATGTTTGCTAGCACAATAACCATGTTTGTGGATAGTTTTAGAAAATAGTCTCAATTCTCGTGTTTCCTGTGCAAATGAAATAATTGCTATCTATTTACCCGTGTAAATTTCTTTTTCAGGGGGAGAGGAACAAATTAGCATATGTTTAAAGAAGTTGAAAGCTAATAGAAACTCATATTTGGTACCTTTTTGGTGGCAGGATTCTATAGGAAATGCCTTGGCAAAGGGAGCCGCAGAGTGCTTCAGTAATGCTTGGGATTGCAGGCGTGTTGTCTAGGGCCACAGCCGGGGAGGGGACCAGGGAGGGAAAACGGGCTGTTCATACGGAGGGAGTGGAAGGGATTCTTGGAATAATGTTTTCCAGACTCTATTTTAAGATTATAATTTTTAAGACAGCAAATATCCCAAATGGTACTACTGGTTACACTTCTGTGAGCATATTGATTCTCACTTGCTTGACTCAAGCGGGGGTTTGATTTTGGTCACAAAGCCACCCGTGACTATGACAAATAATTCAAGGTTGCCAAACTTGCCTGTGCCAATTGACAGTGCCGTTTATGTAAGTCCTCTCTTGCGCTATATTGCTCTGCCCTCAAAAGTCAGTAAACTGTCTTGGACAAAACTCTTTAGGATCTATTCAGGGATTTAACACTTTTCTGCTAGATTGCAAGTAAATTTAAACACGTTAAACAAATGAACAAGGATTGCTTAGGTGCCTGGTGTGGTACAGAATGAGCTGTCAGTTTCTATTCTGATGAATAGAATTTTATAGATGGGAGGAATGGGAGGCCTCCAGAGGATACTACCCTCCCTAAAAAGTGACGGAGGAAGAGCTGAAAGCGGGCCGAGAGGCTTCTTGATGACCACATGGTGGTCTTAGAGAAGCTGCTGCCTGCAGGCGGGGCTCCTGCTTTTCTGTACCCCTTTAAGCCTCTGCCCCACAGTCTTCCTTTGTAAAAAACAACTGCTTCTTGCCTGCCCCATCACACCCCCTCCACTCCATTGGGTCACTGCTCAATAGCACAATAGGACTGCTCAGCCATACCTCCCAGCATCCTGTCCCCTATCCGGTGACTCGGCCAACACAGGCTCTGTTCCACTTGCCCCGCTCCGTGTCTTTTGTGAATCAGCACAGTTGGTATATCTGAGCAGGGGCTTCTACCATCTCCCCAAGGGAATCACTAGCCATCGGCCTTCTGGCCCCGCGGGGCACTTTTGTTCCTGGAATCACAGTGAAGTATCTGTTGTCTTGGTGCCTGGTCGTCAGCTGGGCTGAAGGGAAAGCTGGGTCCTGGTCCCCAGACCCATGGACTCCAAGGTAGCATTGCGCAGGTGCCTCTGGGAGCCACTGCTCAGGGTGCTGGGGCATTTCCAGTGGTCATTTGTCCTGCCTGCTTGCCCCCGCAGGTCCCTCCAGCTATAAGGTGGGCACCATGGCGGAGAAGTTTGACTGCCACTACTGCAGGGACCCCTTGCAGGGGAAGAAGTATGTGCAAAAGGATGGCCACCACTGCTGCCTGAAATGCTTTGACAAGTTCTGTGCCAACACCTGTGTGGAATGCCGCAAGCCCATCGGTGCGGACTCCAAGGTAATGGGCATCCCCACGTGCCAGTGGGAAGGGCTGGGCTTCAGAGTGTCCTTTACCCACAATCATGGCAGCAGCAGCTGGCCGTTAGGATTTCCCAGCATCACTGCAGCCACATTGAGGCCTCAAGGAAGCCTCCTCCACTCCCCAGGCCACAGTGGCCCAAGCTGTTTAATGTGGGGCTTGACTGGATGGGTGACAAGGCCATTGCCAGCTCTTCTGATTGCATTCTAAATATTTCAAGAATTGTGAGATTTTTATCCTCATCTCAGCGTCCCTCCTGTCACTCATAAGAACAGTCACTGTGGGGCAGTCCCTAGGTGTAAGGGACTGTATCATCTCAGTGGTCAGTCCCAGGGAGATCAGCCTTATGGGAGGGCTCCTGCTGCCACCCCCAGCACCCCTCATGGTGGCCCACCCTGTCTGCTTGGTTTCCAGGAGGTGCACTATAAGAACCGCTTCTGGCACGACACCTGCTTCCGCTGTGCCAAGTGCCTTCACCCCTTGGCCAATGAGACCTTTGTGGCCAAGGACAACAAGATCCTGTGCAACAAGTGCACCACTCGGGAGGACTCCCCCAAGTGCAAGGGGTGCTTCAAGGCCATTGTGGCAGGTACTGCCTCCTTCCCACCCCGGGTTCCCAGGGAGGAGGCCCTGAGGGCAGACGTGATGTGGGCTTGCTTAACACGGTGGGGCTAACGTTGCTCTGAGCTGCTTTGAGATATTAGCATATATATGTACACATATACATACACGTATATATGCGTACACATATATGCTCGCACACACGCACACACTCGGAGACTAAAGAACACTGGCGAGAACAGCCTGTGGCAAGAGAATGAAGTGAACAGTATGTAGCGCTTTCTCATTTGGGCGTAGTAAGTGATGAAAGCATGCTTCTTCCTCAGGGTGTCATTCTGGGCCATGTAGTCCCTGATTTAATGTCTAAGTGCACGCAGGGTATAGAGGTGGGGGAGTGGGGCATTCAGGCACCGGATCCTAAAACAATAATGCTGGGGTCCCCACCCATGACAGAAATCCTGGGTTGGCACAAGCATAAGTAGAACACAGGTAGGTTAGTTGGAGGTGTGAGGCCAGTAACTGCAGGGCCTGCATCCCCTCACCTCTGGAGGGCCTGGGGAGGGGAGCTGAGTGGATGCAGCCCCCTGCAGAGCCTGTCAGTGGGGCTATCCAATTGCTTCCCCCTGCAGGAGATCAAAACGTGGAGTACAAGGGGACCGTCTGGCACAAGGACTGCTTCACCTGTAGTAACTGCAAGCAAGTCATCGGGACTGGAAGCTTCTTCCCTAAAGGGGAGGACTTCTACTGCGTGACTTGCCATGAGACCAAGTTTGCCAAGCATTGCGTGAAGTGCAACAAGGTATGCTTTCAAGGGAGTTCTGCATTGACCGTTGTTTCTAGAAGTGTTTGACAGTTTGCAGAGCACTTCCACACACACTATCCCATTCCATCCTCATGACAGCCCTGTGACGTAGGAATTATTATTCCCGTTTTACAGATGAGGAGATCGTGGATTAGGAAGCAGTGCCGAAGCCAAGTCTTAGGCTGTCGGTATGCATCCTCAGCCCGGTGGTGTGGGTAGCCCGTACGGCATGCTGAGCTGGGCAGCCCTGGCTCCAGAGGCCTGCCTCCACCACTAAGGGGTTGTGTAACCTCACATAGGGGCTCACTTTCTCCGAGCCTTGGTGTCTTCATCTGTAAAGTGGGGATAATAATAGCCCCTGCCTCCCATGGCCGTTGTGGAGATTAAATGAGATATTGTATACCAAAGCGCCCAGCACAGTGCCTGGCACGCAGTAGGCATTCAACAAAATGGTTGTTGAATCTGAATCCGGTGCTACACTCCCTGGTCTAGGCCATCACATCTGGAGGAATCACTTACCAGGATCAGCCCTGGCATGCCGATTGCTTTGTGTGTGTTACCTGCTCTAAGAAGCTGGCTGGGCAGCGTTTCACCGCTGTGGAGGACCAGTATTACTGCGTGGATTGCTACAAGAACTTTGTGGCCAAGAAGTGTGCTGGATGCAAGAACCCCATCACTGGTAGGCTAAAGAGTCCTTGCTAAGTCTGCCAGGCTAGGTTTTGCGCATGGTAACCATCTCTCATTTTCCTGTCGTCGGTTTCATCCACAAAGGCCCCCAGAGTATGCCCTTCTCCCCTGCTATTGTGGTCCCAAAGGCCCCCCAAGAGTTTGGATTCGGCCCCAGGCCAGGTTAGCCTTTGCAATACAGAAACACTTCCTGACTGTTGACTAACAATGCCGAAAGTTCACAAGCCTGAGACCTGCCGGCCAACACCCGCAGGCACTGCCACTTTGCAGGGGGATTCTGCAGGGAGGGGTGGGAGGAGGGTAGAAAGAAGGGGGGTGGGGGAGGTGGGGAAGGGAAAGCGGGGGAAGGGAGGCCGAAGAGTGATAATCTGGGATTGTAATACCCCATATTTGAAGGCTAGTTCAGAGATGCCTGTTGGCAGGGTTTCTTTTTTTTTTGTTTTGTTTTTTTGGTTTGCTGTTTATTTGTTTTTGCGATCAGCAAAGCTAATCACTTCATTCCTCATCTCGCGGCCGCGATCCACGTGCCCTGGGCCCTTTCCCTTGCCTCCAATTTTCCCATCTTCCCGGGGAGCCTTGAAATGTACATTTGAGAAGACTTTTGCCATCCTCAGGGAAAAGGACTGTGTCAAGAGTGAGCCACCCAGTCTCTAAAGCTAGGAAGCCCCCAGTGTGCCACGGGAAACGCTTGCCTCTCACCCTGTTTCCCAGCGCCAACCTCCGGGGCAGGCATCCGGGTGGAGAGAGGACTTGTCCCTCGTGGGTGGTGGTTCTTTATAGAAAAAATCGAAGCTTAGCAGCTCCTCGAGGCCCGGTAAGTGCACACCCTACGAACAGCCCAAGTTTGCCTCCTGGTGGCCACTTTGATGTCATGGCCCTGACCTAAATCAAAGAAACTGGTTATGCTGGGAGGTCGGTGCGCGTCACAGGGCAATAGCGCGGTGGCATGGGAACGTGTGGGGTCGTTACATCAGGGAAGCCCTTGGCCGGGCTCCGGCATCTTCTCAGGTCTTTGAGAGCCATAGCAGGGTTGCGGCGGCATGGGGAACAATGGCGGCGTGGGGGACTGCACGATGGAGTGGAGGAGGGGGTCTGGGAGCCAGGCAGACACTGGCTCTTGCGTGCTTGTCAGTCTGTGAGTGGGGCAGGTCGTCATTTTATCTCTTTGAATCGTGGCTTCCTCACCTGTATTCATTCAGCTGTTTTTCTTGTTTTCTTTCTTTTTTTTTTTTTTTTTTTTTTTTTCCCCAGGGTTTTGGCTAAAGGGCTCCAGTGTGGTGGCCTATGAAGGACAATCCTGGCACGACTACTGCTTCCACTGCAAAAAATGCTCCGTGAATCTGGCCAACAAGCGCTTTGTTTTCCACCAGGAGCAAGTGTATTGCCCCGACTGTGCCAAAAAGCTGTAAACTGACAGGGGCTCCTGTCCTGTAAAATGGCATTTGAATCTCGTTCTTTGTGTCCTTACTTTCTGCCCTATACCATCAATAGGGGAAGAGTGGTCCTTCCCCTCTTTAAAGTTCTCCTTCCGTCTTTTATCCCATTTTACAGTATTACTCAAATAAGGGCACACAGTGATCATATTAGCATTTAGTAAAAAGCAACCCTGCAGCAAAGTGAATTTCTGTCTGACTGCAATTTAAAATTGAAAACTTAGGTAGATTGACTCTTCTGCATGTTTCTCATAGAGCAGAAAAGTGCTAATCATTTAGCCACTTAGTGATGTAAGCAAGAAGCATAGGAGATAAAGCCCCCACTGAGGTGCCTCTTGTGCCTCAGCTGGGACCCACCGTGTAGACACACGACATGCAAGAGTTGCAGCGGCTGCTCCAACTCACTGCTCACCCTCTTCTGTGAGCAGGAAAAGAACTTACTGACATGCATGGTTTAACTTCCTCATCAGAACTCTGCCCTTCCTTCTGTTCTTTTGTGCTTTCAAATGACTAACACGAATTTCCAGAAAATTAACATTTGAACTTAGCTGTAATTCTAAACTGACCTTTCCCCGTACTAACGTTTGGTTTCCCCGTGTGGCATGTTTTCTGAGCGTTCCTACTTTAAAGCATGGAACATGCAGGTGATTTGGGAAGTGTAGGCAGACCTGAGAAAACAAGCCTGTTTCAGAGGAACATTGTCACAATGAATACTTCTGGAAGCTTAACAAAACTAACCCTGCTGTCCTTTTTATTGTTTTTAATTAACATTTTTAATTGATAGCAAAATAGTTTATGGGTTTGGAAACTTGCATGAAAATATTTTAGCCCCCTCAGATATTCCTGCAGTGTTGAAATTCATCCTACAGAAGTAACCGCAAAACTCTAGAGGGGGAGTTGAGCAGGCGCCAGGGCTGCCATCAACATGGATATGACATTTCACAACAGTGACGAGTTGAATCCCTTGTAAAGTAGTAGTTGTCTGCTCTTTGTCCATGTGTTAATGAGGACTGCAACGTCCCTTCTCTTGTGATTCCTAGGACTTTTCCTCAAGAGGAAATCTGGATTTCCACCTACCGCTTACCTGAAATGCAGGATCACCTACTTACTGTATTCTACATTATTATATGACATAGTATAATGAGACAATATCAAAAGTAAACATGTAATGACAATACATACTAACATTCTTGTAGGAGTGGTTAGAGAAGCTGATGCCTCATTTCTACATTCTGTCATTAGCTATTATCATCTAACGTTTCAGTGTATCCTTACAGAAATAAAGCAGCATATGAATAACCCGCCTCCTGTCTTTTCATTCTGCCTGGTGGACTCGCTATAAGGTGATACTCCTAATCCAGAAACCCAAATGACTTATTTTCCTTCCAGGATATACTCAGTTCAGTGCAGGTGCACGGAACATAGGAATTACAAACAAACCTGTAAAAACCACATTTGATTGACAAATAAATACATAAAAACTGAAACCACTCTGACCTAAAATAGTATTTCCCAGATTTTCACATCCCTGAAAAAGGATGAATTGGTTTGATGTGACCAGGGAATTAGGGAGGGAATCCCCGATGAAGCATGGCACTGAGTAGCCATCTTGGTCCCTGTTTGTTGGGTGCTACCTCGCTATGCCTTCCCCCTTGTGCCCTCTGGAACCCGGGGTCCGGGTGGAACGTGACCATCTCAACTGTGGCTGCCTCCACCTGCCAGCCGAATGACACCCTCGCTCCTTCTTGTGGATGTGGCTCAGTAAGGAGGCTGCCCATTTGGACCCATGCACTTCAGTTAGGGGGAACATGCGGGGATGCTGTGGGCAGAGGGAGGGGTTGGCCCGGCATTGAGCCTCCCCAGTTGCCACTGCTTCTAGACTAGCACCACACACTAGTGTCTTTTCTTCACCTCTTGTGTTCTTGGGTCATCCAACCTGTCTACACCCACGTGGCCCTTACGGCACAGCACAAGAGGCCCCATGCAACAGGTGTCTGCTGCACTCTCCTCCTGGTGGAAGGGGCTTCAGACCATAAGGGCCCCTATAAGCAGAACTGGGTGGGAGGAGGAGGTGTTAGTCTTAACTGGGCCTCATGCTGAGGGTAATAAAAGCAAAGGGCAGAAGCCCTTTGGTGCTAATGTTTGCCTTCTGAGAAGGGAACAACCTGTCAGCAAGAAACTGAGCACTTTTAGGAATCTGGCACATCTGCTTGTGTGTGTTTCCTTGCAGAAATTGACCATGAAAACCTTGAAACCGATGAAGTCTGTCCAGTCATGTGGGGCCCCAGGGACATGAGGCTGGGTCAGGGGATGGGAAGTGGCTGCCCTCACTGCTCCCAAAGGAGTGGGCTGAGTTCCTGAGGCTACAGCAAGGAAAGGAGCCCCACCGGGAGAGGGGAGAGGAGACAGGCCTGGGATGGAGAGGGGACCCTACCTGCCTTCATGAAGGGCTTTGGCCCCGGCTTATGCTCTCGATCCACTTCGGCTGAGCCCTGGGCCTTCAGCATCCAGACACAGGCTCCCCTGCCTACCCACGTGCTCTTTCCCATTCTGGAACTCTTCTTCACTGTGACAGTTCCTTGCCCTCCAGTCCTCAGTCCACCCTCCTTCTCAGCCCCTTCCCACCGTAACGCCCCTCCCCATCTGCCCTAGATTCTATGGTCTGCATTTCATTCATTTCCCTCCTCACTCCTGTTATCCCTTTGCCCTTCTAAACTGCTTGGCCTGCAAAACCTGAGTGGATGGCTCGAGCTCTGCTGAGGAAAAGCACCCTGGCCTAAAATTCCCAGTCCCACCACTCTGCCACTTGGCCCAAAGTCCCAAGACCACCTCCACCACCTTCCTCACCCAGGAGACTGAGGTCTATCCGGAGTCAGCTTCTAGCTATTGCTTGCTTCGTGATGCCTGCCTGTCCTTCACACTTCAGCATCTTGTGAAGCACCTACACACATCAGAGCCGACACGCACCATCACTCCCATTTCCCAGATGAGAAAACAGAGAGGTTAAGAAGTTTGCCTAAGGTCACACAGCTAATAAGTGACAAGCCACACCCTAGACACACCTCTAGCATATCACTCATGACACTAAATTGTCGTAAAAATAAGACACATCACAATAAAACCGTCATGCACAGTGCTCAGTACTTAGAAGGCATTTGTTTGTTGAATACGTGATTTTAAGTGACATAAGGCTCAGGAGAAATGAGGGTAAATTTCCACACAGTTTGTCAGCAGAGAAACATTTTCTCCCTCCTAATGAATGGGATCAGAATATCAAGAACCTCTCTACTTGTGATTAACAGGGTGGGCTCTGGCACCAGGCTACCAGGGTTCAAATCCTGGCTGCTCTGCCACTTTGTAGTCATGAGACCTTGGGCAAGTGAACCTCTCTGAGCTTGGTCCTTCACCTGTGAGACCTAAAATTTCTACTTTGCAGAATCCCACGTTGGGGACATAATACAAGTGCTTAGTGAGGGGACTGGCACCCAGTAAATGCCAACAAATATTTCATCCCCAGCACCAAAGACACTGCTCTGGTGTCTGTGACCTACCCTGCAAGCCTCAAGACGCTATGTTCACTCCCAAAGCAGTGTGGGGTGTTGGCTTGAGGGACAAACTTGGGTTTGAATATCAGCTCTGCCTCTTTCCAGCTGTGTGACCTGGAACAAATGCTGCTCTCCACAAATTTCAGTGTCCTCATAGGCATAAATGAGTACCTACACCTCATAAAGTTGTTGTGAGCACTGAAAATGCCTGGCTGGGCGCGGTGGTTCACGCCTGCGATCCCAGCACTTTGGGAGGCTGAGGCGGGCAGATCACCTGAGGTCAGGAGTTCGAGACCAGCCTGGCCAACATGGTGAAACCCTGTCTCTACTAAAAATACACAAATCAACCAAGTGTTGTGGCGTGTGCCTGTAGTCCCAGCTACTCAGGAGGCTGAGGCGGATGAATCGCTTAAACCTGGGAGGCGGAGGTTGCAGTGAGTCGAGATTACGCCACTGCATTCCAGCCTGGGAAACAGAGTGAGACTCTGTCTCAAAAAAACAAAACAAACAAACAAAAAAGAAAATGCCTATCAAGTACCTGGCATATTGCACATGTAAACCTAACTGCAATGATTACAACACATTTGGGGAAATTAGAATCAGATGGGTACCTAGGACCCATCTGGAAACACTGTAACTGGAGTGGTGAGGGGACCAAAGGCAAGGAGGCTGTTTTGGGGCCTGTTTCGACCAACCAGGCTGGCCAGGCACTGGAGGGGTGGGGTCACTGAAGATGACGGAATTGCCCCGACATGATAAAATGTCATGCACAGTCCGCCTCCGCGCTCTGGCTTCTTGGCCCTAGCTGCTGTTTTATGCCTCCTGATCCCTCTGGCTCTGGCTCCAAGGAGTTAGAGGTGTTTGAGAACAGTGGAGTCTCAAAACTGAAAAGGCTGCAGAGATTGTAGCACAGCCCCATCATTTGACAGACAAGGAATAGGGATCAGAGAAGAGCAACAATGTGCACAACGTCACACGTGAGCTAGTAGCCCTCTCAGCTGGGTTCAGGTCTTCAGGGGCCTGTCTGGCATTCTTTATGGTATTTCACACTGCATTCTTGTGGTTCTGAGGGATTGGAGCAGTTAAAAAACTTCATTCCACATGCAGTGTCTACAATGACACAGGCATAGAAAATGCGCTGATCTGCAGAATCTGCTGGTAGAGGCCAGGGGTCTGTCCCTCCGGGTAGAGGACACCAGGATGGGAAATGCAAGGCAGCAATGCGCGAGGGGAAGGCTAGGTCAATGTCCATCACCTTGGCCTTGTAAACAGGAACATCCTGGTAGACAGTTTCAATGGATGGATCAACAGGACCTGGCGCCAAACTTGGCAGTGAAGAGTTTCCAGCTCAGATGAGACACAGGGAGGTGATATGTTTGACAGGAATAGGATGTGCCTAGTTTGTGCTGATTCAAAAGTATATAGAATGCTCTAGCATGTTCAGTGGGGGAATGGCTACCATCATTCTCATAAGCACCAGACCCCAAAGACTGGGGATAAACAAGGACCTTGCCTTATCAAAAACAAAACCTAGTAAAGCAGAGGTCCCCAACCTTTGGGCCACGGACTGGTGCTGGTCTGTGACCTGTTAGGAACTGGGTCACAGAGCAGGAGTTGAGTGGCAGGAGAGCAAATCTTCATCTGTATTTACAGTGGCTCCCCATCACTTGCATTGCCGCCTGAGCTCGGCCTCCTGTCAGAGCAGTAGCGGCATTAGATTCTCATAGAAGTGAGAACCCTATTGTGAACCACGCATGTGGGGGATCTAGGTTGTGCGCTCCTCATGAGATTCTAATGTCTGATGATGTCACTGTCTCCCATCATCCCCAGATGGGACCGTCTAGTTGCAGGAAAACAAGCTCAGGGTTCCCACTGATTCTACGTTATGGTGAGTTGTATAATTACTTCATTATATATTACAATGTAATAATAGAAATGCACTTGAATCATCCTAAAACCACCGCACCATCCCCACCAAAGGTTCATGGAAAAATTGTCTTCCACAAAACCAGTTCCTGGTGCCAAAAAGGTTGGGGACTGCTGGAGTAAAGCATGATTTAAAATTGGAAACTAAACACTCACAGGCAGATCAGAATATTTGTTTTGCCATTCACAGTAACAGTGATGTCAAGAGATGAGTATATAAAAGAGCACAATTAACCACCTGAGCATGCACGCCCAGACTTTTCAAAGCAAGAGGGTTTTCCTCATCCAAGGTGAGCACCAAATGTGAGAATTAAAGGGGCGAGGGGAGGAGGGAAAGGGGAGTAACCGCTTAAAGGGCACAGCTTTTCTTTTCAGGGTGATGAAAATGCTCCAGAACTAGATAGTGGTATTGGATAGCTGCACAGCCTTGTGAATATACACTTTAAAATGGTTACTTTTAGGTTATACGATTTTTATTAGGATAAAAAAAGCAAGAGCAGCACTATAAAACAGGGCAAGAAAAAAACAAGAAATAAAAAAAAAAATTCAAAAGACACTGTAGTAATAAGCCTCAACTTATACAAGAGAACCATCACAGGGAAGAGTAACAAGCACTGAAATAATTGCAGGAAGACAACCAGAGCTTGAAAACTCACATCTAGGCTGGGTGTGGTGGCTCATGCCTGTAATCCCAGCACTTTTGGAAGCTGAGGCAGGAAGATCACTTGAGGCCAGGAGTTCAAGATCAGCCTGGGTGACAGGGCAAGACTCCGTCTCAAAAAAAAAAAAAAAAAAAGGAAGACGACAGAGAGAGAGAGAGAGAGAGAGAAGCCAGGTATGGTGCCATGACTGTGGTCCCAGCTACTCAGGAGGCTGAGGTGGGAGGACTGCATGAACCTCAGAGTTTGAGGCTGCAATTAGCTATGATTGTGCCACTGCACTCCAACCTTGGCCACAGAGTGAGACCTTGTCTCTAAAACAAACAAACAAACAAACAAACTCACGTCTTTCTATTCCAGAAGTGGAACTCTGCCAAATCACCAACTGGATGAAGAGGGAAATCAGAGAATTCGATTCCTGTTCATTGAATTTGCTGGCTGCTTGTGTTCATAGCTTGGCCAACAATTGGTGTTGCCTTTGTACCACCACCAGTACACTTTTTTGAGTATTATAATGAAAAAACCCTTGTTTTATCTGCAAAGTTTATTTTATATAGCACACATTTATATGGAACTGTAACGGTATTTCAACACATGATATTTGTGCAGAAAAATAACAAACTCTTTTGTTAGGATGATTGTCTCTGTGTTATACATGAAAGACCTAGTATATAAAAATAGTTTTTAAACCAAAGGTAACCTTCTCTATTCTATATCAAAAGTACAATACTCTGAGTGGCAAAGAACCAGGGAATCTGAAAGAATTACCTCCTTTTACTAATCCAAGACTGGCAGCCAGAAGGAACACTGGCCTGCTTCGGACTATTTGCAATTCAACACTGAAAACTCATTATTAGAATTAATCTGCATTTGAATTTTATGGAATCATAATACTGTGTGTGCATACATACGTGTATGTACATCTGTGTGCATTTCTGTGTGCCCATCACGCGGACTCACTGGCAGCCAGTGGCTAGAGAAAGGCAAGCAAAATTTGGTTATATCTCAAGCCTGAGTATATACTCAACGACAGAACTGGAGAGTACAGGCCGAAAAATACTTTAAACATTAAACATTTCGAGGAATTAAACATACCCCATGGGACAAGAGCCATGTACTCCTTTATGTACACAATAAAAATAATATATGTTTCTGTAGATAAACACCAATATGTTCTTCAAAAGGAAACACTGACAAGAGCATGAAAGGTGCTGACTGTTCCAAGATGGGGCTTTACAGGACTCCCAGCATTTGAGGCTATTGGTGCCTGTGTACTCACTGGCACAAGTGGGTAGAGTTAAAAATATACATATATCATGGTAAAATACAATTTATTGGATTTTGCAACCTTTGGTATTTTTATATTAGAAACAATCTGACACAGCTCTTGTGAGTGATCCTGCGGCCCTTGCATAATCTATTATGTTCTCTACAAGATCAACTGTGAGGTTTTAGCTGTCAAAATTATCACTGGTACACAGAAAAATCATTACTTGGCTGGGCCCAGTGGCTCACACCTGTAATCCCAACACTTTGGGAGGCCAAGACAGGTGGATCACTTGAGGCCAGGGGTTCAAGACCAGCCTGGTGAGCATGGTAAAACCCCATCTCTACTAAAATACAAAAAATTAGCCAGGTGTGGTGGCACATGCCTGTAATCCCAGCTACTGGGGAGGCCGAGACAGGAGAATTGCTTGAGACCAGGAGGCGGAGGGTGCAGTGAGCTGAGATTGTGCCATTGCACTGCAGCCTGGGTGACAGGGCAGGACTCCGTCTCAAAAAAAAAAAAAAAAAGTAAAAGAGAAAGAAAAAGAAAAAGCATTACTTTAAGATTTCAAATATATACTGAAAGAGAATTAGTTCTGCAATCATATTCTTCTAGAAACTCCACAATTACAGTTTCAGGAAAGCATCCTTGATGCACTCGCTCCAGCAAACACATTGGTAGGACAACACAAGAATAAGAGACAATGGTGATTTTCCAAAGAAAACAAAAACAACTCTTTACTTAGAGCTCTTGCTTAGACATAAGAGAACAACATGATTTTTAACATATTCTGAGATATACATCAAGGTGACCTTTTGACAGTTTCTTTCAATTTTTTGGTGTCACTTCCTTTACCAGGTTCAAGTCAGAAGCAGAAAAATTTGAGGACTGATGGGCCCAGGAGTTGAGTTATCCAGAGTGGAAGATGTATTCATCTCCCAGGCTGAGTAAGGTTTACGTATCTGACTAGAGGGAAAAATAAAAGAAAGATTAGTAGAGAAGATGCTAGTCTCACAGCAACTTGTCCCTGGCCTCCCTTCAGGGTACATGCCCAGGACCCTCAGCAGCCCCTCTGGAGTTGCTGACACACTGGTCCTATAAATGTCCTTCACTTCCCCAGTCCCCAACCAGGCCCAAGGTGCTTCTCAATTTCAAAGAGAACTTCTCAAGGAAAGAAAAACAAGAGGCTTCTGGTTTTGGAAACACAGGTTGAGGCTTATTCTGAAGACTTCCCTAATCTTCTGCCCTAATCAACTGTCTGTGCGCTTGCCAAGCAACCAGCAGACCAGGAGCTCAGAGGAGTCTGGGATGCAAGTTTGAAAAGAACATTTTTTTTTTTTTTTTGAGACAGAGTCTTGTTCTGTCACCCAGGCTAGAGTGCTAGAGTGCAGTGGCACAATCTCAGCTCACTGCAACCTCTGCCTCCTGGGTTCAAGTGATTCTCCTGCCTCAGCCTCCCGAGTAGCTGGGACTACAGGTGCCCGCCACCTCGCCCGGCTAGTTTTTTGTATTTTTTAGTAGAGATGGGGTTTCACTGTGTTAGCCAGGATGGTCTCGATCTCCTGACCTCGTGATCCACCCGTCTCGGCCTCCCAAAGTGCTGGGATTACAGGCTTGAGCCACCACGCCCGGCCGAGATGGGGTTTCATCATGTTGGCCAGTCTGGTCTGAAACTCCTGACCTCAAGTGATCTGCCTGCCTTGGCCTCCCAAAGTGCTGGGATTACAGATGTAAGCCACTGCACCTGGCCAAAACTTATTTTTTATATCTGGCATGAAATGTGGGACATAAAAATTAGAATCAAGTCATCTACTCTCTATTCTCTCAAAACCAACTTAATGGAAGACTCTCACATCATTCCTGCAGACCCACAATTGTCTTCTTCTCTTCCAAAGCTATATGGTGCAAAGATTGCCCTGGAACAGCTAGAAGGAGGGGAGTGGGGTTTGGGGTCAACTGCCTTTCAAGAAAAAGGTGGATGAGATGAGGTCTTACCCTAATGAGGAGAAACAGGTTTGCTTCTTCTCTTATCGTCTAAAGGTGTCTGGGGACTTTGGCGAGATGTCATGGAATCCTTCAGATTTTGTTTGTGCCTGTCAGGAGAAAAATGTGACAAAGATAGTTCTGCGACTTACAATGTTGGTGATCTTGTCACAGATACACTGCTGCTCATAATTCATACTAACAGAGGATCTGCTGGTGGTGTTGGTTTCATCCGCCTTTCTGGTTTTTGTTGTGTGACTGGTCATTCTTTTGGAAGATGGTCTGGAAAGAGACAGTTTGGTTAGAATCCCAATTATTCCCAAACCAAGGCTCTGGCCTAAAAGCAGCTTTGTCCTTTGATTAACTTCTAAGAAATGCCTTGGAATTAAAAAACATTTCAGAATCATAGAACAGGATGACTGAAAGGAACCCTCGAGATCACAGGACACACTGATTTTCAAACTGTATTCCAGAAAGCCCTAGGTCTCACGGAAGCACCAGGAGTAGGAGCAGCTAAGCACGCAGGACTCCAGAAACCCTGTCCCTCCCTTAGATTGGTCAAGGATGGGCCAGTGAGGTGTAGTAACAGAACTGGTACAGGTCCTCTAGCTCTAGTGCTCCTTCCACATCATCACACCTCTCAGCAGACTCCTGTTCCTGTGGGCCTTGCAGGTGAACGTCTTCTCAGGCAATTGCCCATGTAGCGTTCCTTTCCATGAATCAGTTCCTGCTCTCCTGACCTAACTTCTGACCTTGTTTCCTTACACTGAAAATGAGCATATTATGGCCGGGCGTGGTGGCTTATGCCTGTAATCCCAGCACTCTGGGAGGCCAAGGTGGGCAGATCACTTGAGCCCAAGAGGTTCAAGACCAGCCTGGCCAATCTGGTGAAACCTCATCTCTTAAAAAAATAAAATAAAATAAAAAAATAATAAAATGAGGATATTACTGTCACACTCAGAGTTGTGTTGATAATTGAAATAGGTAATATAAAATGCCTGGTATATTGCAATCACTCCACAAATGTCTTCTTGCCCAACTTCATGAGATAACATTAACCAATGTGAACGAAAGTAAAGTTTGGGGCCAGATGTATCTGGAATTGAATTTGGGCTCTGCCCTTTAATAGCAGGATATTGGGCAAATAAAGCCCCTACCCTCTCTGCACCTCAGTCTCCTTGTCTTTATAAATGGGGATGATGATCTTTACTTAGCAAGGCTGTTGTGGGGATGAGTTTATTTCTGTTAAGTCAAATACGTGACATGGTGTTTGGTAAAAACTAAGAGCACAAGAGATCATATTATTTAGCATTCTAAGAATGTCAATCATAATCCTGCCAAGTTTATTTAGATAAGCTGACTAAGTGACTCACCTTGAAACTACTTCCTGTGTTGAAGTGTCTTTCACGCTTTTTTGTCTGAAGTTTTTCAAATCACCATTAAAATATGTTTTTGGCTCTTTACGGACCTGGCTGGAACCGTCTTCTAGAAATACCAGCTTGTGTGTCATTTTCTTGGCATTGTTGAACGGTATTTTAAATTTGGGAGGTGAGCCTGTGCCATTTAGAATGGCTAGAAAAAAAATAACACAATTAAATATGGAGTTTCAATAACGAATTCAAGAAAAAGTGAAGGCTGTGATCCTGATGGGATGAGGAGTGGGTATCGCCTGCCTGAAGGCAGGAAGAGTCAAGCAGCAGTACTCCTGGGAGGCAGGCCCAGCAGTCACAGAGTTTCCCGAGCCATGTCTCGGGCCACTGCTCAGCACACACACTCACCCTGCCCTCGAGGCACCAAGAGGCTACCATTAAGGAATCTGTCCTTTTTCCTTTGCTAGGAAAGAATAACAACCAGAGATAAGACTGCTCCAGATTCTCGCCCCTCCCCTGATCACTCACCTAGCCAATTCTGTTTATGCATTTCGTCTTACCTCTAATTTTTTTTTTTTTCTTGGGACGGAGGCACGATCTTCACTCACTGCAAGTTCCGCCTCCCAGGTTCACACCATTCTCCTGCCTCAGCTTCCCAAGCAGCTGGGACTACAGGCGCCCGCCACCACGCCTGGCTAATTTTTTGTATTTTTAGTAGAGACGGGATTTCATCCTGTTAGCCAGGATGGTCTTGATCTCCTGGCCTCGTGATCCGCCCAACTTGGCCTCCCAAAGTGCTGGGATTACAGGCGTGAGCCACCGCCCGGCCTCATCTTACCTCTAATGTTACCTCCTACCTTCGGCTTTCCTCAATGCCCTAAGGCAGACTGAGGGGCTCTTACTGCTATGTTCTCATTGTATTTTCACCAAACTTCTTTCAACCCAATCATCTTGTGGCAGTATTATGGTTTGCTCATATGTTTGTCTTCCCACTGGCTATAGCTCCTTCAAGCTCAGGCCTTGTCTTTTCACCCCTTCATTCCCAGCACCTAGTAGAGGACCTGACTTTCCTGTTCAATATCCACTGGCGGGAAAAATATGGACAAATAATGTTTTCTCAAATGGCAATTACTGTTACTACAAAGTGGTTCCTACTTGTAAGGGAGTCCAGACATTTGAGAAAGCATTCAATTTTTCTTAATGAAGTGGAAAGTGGAATTCCACCTGTGGTCAATCATGGATGCCTTGAGGAGTTGAGCTCTGAAATGCTGGCAATCCTCACATTCAACTGAGAAAGAGCTGCTATCTACAGTCTATTAGCATGATCTTTAAAATAATAAGCAGCAGCAGCTGTTATTTATTGAGAGTTTATGTGTCAGACACCGTTTTTAGCATTACATGGATTTACCTCACTGAAATCTCATATCCACTCTAGGAAAAGGACATTGGCTTCCCCTTTTTCAGATGGGAAAAACTCAGCACAGAAAGGTTAAGTGAACTGCCCAAAGCCACACAGCTCAAAAGCAGAGGAGCCCCTGGATATGAACCTAAGCAGTCTAGCTCCTAAATTGTGACTAACCTGATGGAAACATTTCATTCAATGAGTCCTTGTCGCTTTCTTCGTTGTCAGCCTCAGCCTCTTCATATATGTCATGGCTGGATGTTTCTGTGACCTATGATTAAAAAAGGAAATCTTGATTATGACTAATATTCAATCATCCTGGTTTAGAATGTCAACGAAGTCTGCTTCAAAGCTGGATTGATGGCTAACTTTTGTCATTTCAACAAAAAGGTAAAAAAATCTAACCTCTTTTAACTGGCCCCAAGAATCTACAGAGGATAGGGACAGGTGCCCGTAGCTGTGTCTTTTGGCTAGGAAGACACTCAAGAATGAAAGATTTCCCTGGGCAGGAGCCAAGGGACTATAGCTTTGTGTTGGCATTTGTTCTCTGCCTGCTCAGAACCTTAACTAAGGCGGGATGGGACTAGTCAGTGAATAGCTAAAACGTTTTTGACTGCTGTTTTTTGTTTTTTTTTTTTTTGGTGGGGGGACAAAGTCTCACTCTGTTGCCCAGGATGGAGTGCAGCGGCACGATCACAGCTCATTGCAGCCTCAAACTTCGGGACTCAAGTGATCCTCCTGTCTCAGCCTCCCAAGCAGCTGGGACTACAGACGCATGCCACCACACCTGGCTAATTTTTAATTTTTTTTTATAGAGACAAGTTCTCACACTATGTTGTCCAGGTTGGTCTTGAGCTCCTGGGCTGAAGAGCTCCTCTTGCCTTGGCCTCCTAAAGTGCTGGGATTACAGATGTGAGCCACTGCACCCAGCCTTAGGTTGCTGCTTGAGGCAAAACTCCTAATGAGTTGAATGAACTTTGACATGATGACTCCCAGCACTTTTTGGAAATGACATTTCTACTCTAAATTCTCATGTCACTTAATGTAAATGACCACAACTGGGTAATTGCAAACAGACAAAATATCAGTCTTATAGCACAGAATGTAAAAAGCACAGAATCTGGAGGAAAAAGGCCTTGACTACATGTGCTCCATCAAAAGACATGACATTGGGGTAGGTAAATAATTATGAAACAGACCACAAAAACACTCACTATAAGGGAAAAAAATGATAAATTTAAGCTTGTTAAAATGAAGAACTTATGTCTGGTTCATCAACAGACATTAGGAGAGTGTGAGGCAAACTATGGCATGGAAGAAGATACCTGCAATATATATATATATCTCCAAAGGACTCCTAACCAGTGTAGGTAAAAATGCCTACAATTCAATCAGAAAAAGGCAGGTGACAAAATAGGAAAATGGGCAAATGACTTGAAAAGGTACTTCACCAAAGTGAATCTCCAACAGGCCAGTAAGCATTTATGAAAAGGTGCCTGACTTCATTAGTCATCAGAAAATACTGGTCAATTCAACAATATTAAAATCAGAATGCAGGCCATGGTGGCTCAAGCATGAAATCCCAGCACTTTGGGAGGCTGAAGCGGGTGGACTGCTTGAGCCCAGGAGTTTTAGAAACGGCAAAATCCTGTTTCTACAAAAAAATAAAAAATTAGCCAGGTGTGGTGGCGTGCACCTGTAGTCTCAGCTACTTGGAAGGGTGAGATGGGTGGATCACTTGACCTTGGGAGGTGGAGGTTGCAGTGAGCCAAGACTGCACCACTGTGCTCCTGCCTGGGTGACAGAGTAAGACTATTTCAAAAAAAAAAAAAAGAAAAAAGAAAAAATCAGAAGCTTCTATCCAGAAGAGGACAACATTAAGAAAAGATAAGCTGGCCGGGCATGGTGGCTCACACCTGTAATCCTAGCACTTTGGGAGGCTAAGGCGGGTGGATCGCCTGAGGTCAGGAGTTCGAGACCAGTGTGGCCAACATGGTGAAACCCTGTCACCCTGTCTCTACTAGTAATACAAAAATAGCAAGGCATGGCGGCACACCCCTGTAATCCCAGCTACTCAGGAGGTTAAGGCAGGAGAATCACTTGAACCCAGGAGGTGGAGGTTGCAGTGAGCTGAGATCACACCACTACGCTCTAGCCTGGGTGACAGGGCGGGACTCTGTCTCAAAAAAAAAAAAAAAAGAGAGAAAAATGATCAGCATCTGAGGTGATGGATTTGCTAATTATCCTGATTTGATCATTACACATTGTATACAAACAAAAAAAGAAAAAAAGAAAAAGAAAGATAAGCTGTAAACTGGGGGAAGATATCTGCAACACATAACCAAAAAAGAAGCAGTATCTATAACATTTAAAGAACTACAAATGAGACAAATCAACCCAAAAGTCTTGGGCAAAAGATCGAAAAAAAACATTTCACACAAAAGAAAACATGAGAGCTAACTAAAGATATGAAAACATGGTCAACCTTGTTAATAATCAGGGAAATGCAAATGTAATACTTTATTTCATTACCACCAGATTGGGTAAAGTGAAAAACTCGGCAATAATGTGAAACAAGAGGCATTCTTATACACTGCTAGTAGGAGCATGGGGACTACCTTTGAGGCATTTACATCTGTCTTTCTCGTCCGCTTCATAATTTCTTCTATTCTCTATTTAAAGGGAAAGAAAAATTCAAACATGAAAACAGTTGAGAAACCAAACAGTTATCCTAAAGGAGTTGATTATCCCCATTTCACAGAGGTGGACAATGGTAGTGATTGCTCCAAAACCACAAATATTACCAACAAAAGGCTTATGGTGGCAGTTGAGTTTCCTATCCCAATCCCAGTTTCAGCTATAAAATGCCCTGAATGACTGCCGTATTTGTTATAACACAAACATCCAAATGACGACATCTCACTCCTAATTTTGCATATGCAGAAATTCATTACTTAGGCTAAGCATATATTATTGCAAACCAATCAGAGCTTTTAACATAATTTTAGTCTTTAGTCTTCAGTTGATTCCTGAAGCCAATGTTAATGAAAATAATACACCTCAATGATGCCACACTGTTATTGTGTTAATGAAGAGAGAAGATGGGAGGTGGAGGAGAAATATACTTCTAGGGAAGGACAGGAATTCTCTCTCCTGTGCACACTTCTTTCCCTGCAGTGAGGAGAGTTGCAGCTCCCTGGTCCCCTCAAGGTGACCAATCTACTACCAGATAGGCCTTGCAGCAACTCAGCCTGGACCAGGGCTGCCAGATGAGCTCACATGTGGCCCTACCTTAAAAACAGCCTGCACCTTGGCCTCTCAAAGAGGCCTGCAGTTTCTGCTTCTTCCCATGTAGTTGCTGCAATTTCCAGCCAGTTTAGAAGAAAGTCTTAACTTCCACCAACCCCTACCATGACTGGAGTCCTTCTGCTCAGAGGAGTTTTGTTACCAGAGGTTTGATATAGTGAGGCATCACTGTAATGGCCTCCAGGGGTCCATGAGTGGGAGGCATGATCAGTAAGAGGACAGCCTTCTATGTAGGAGAGGTCAGATCCTTGGATAAAGAAGAGAATCGAGTGGAAAAGCCACCAGGAGCTAGCATATATCAGATTTGTGATTCTTAAAAACATGCTGATATCAGGTGCCCAACACTGTTTAAAACACAGAATCAAGTCCCCCCAAACAGACAGTGAGTACCTTTTTCCTTTCTAATCGTTCTTGTAAATTTTGTAACATAATTCTCTCGTGTTCTTTCTTGCGTTTGTCAGCTTCCTCTTGAGCTTTTATGTTGGCATCCCCTTTCTAGGAAATTTGTATAAAAATATCATTTAATCTCAAGATACCTGAGTGACATCAGAGAACTCTAGTTTAAAAATTTCAATGGTAAAATGTTACCTAGCATAACAAAAGAGTGCAACCTTTTGGATGAGGGGTCCTATATTATGGTATTTGTGGACTGTCAATTTTCAAAGCATTAGTTAGAATGCACAAAGCTAGGCTAAATGTTGTCTTGAGGATTCAGGACCACAGGGTCATCGTTATGAACATCATACCATCCTAATTCAAAGTATGTGACTGTGAAGCTATCCATTAACACAGTAACAGGAGTGAACAGCCTGACATTTCTCAAAAGCACTGAGAGAATTCTTGAAGGCACCTTCCTGAGAAATGCAAGCATAAACAATCATATATAACATATGACCAATGCTGGTGAATGATACACTAAAAACTGGGAATATAAATTGGGCTATGGTAATAATTCAAACAGTATAATCTGAGTTCAGTTTGGGCATTTATTTACCCAATAATTTGACTTTAGATAGATGAGACATTCTTATCAGTTAATGATTTTAAACTTGTAGAAGTATTTATGGTTTACCTTATCTGTCACAGGGGTATAAGGTCCAGTTGATGGAGTTGTATGTGGTACCACAGAATGCAAGATGGGGGAAACCAATGTAGGATGTTGAATCTGTTTAAGCAATTTGGATTTCAAATTAAGGACTACACAATTTGCTGTTTTCTGCTTATTTCACTAGGAAAACATTCTATGGTTTTCTGAGGGTGACTGACAATGGCTTGCAGTGGTACTGGGTAATAGAGACTATAACATAAAAATGCAGCCAGAGGTTGGGCGCAGTGGCTCACACCTGTAATCCCAGCACTTTGGGAAGCTGAGGCAGGTGGATCACCTGAGGTCAGGAGTTCAAGACCAGCCTGGCCAACATGGTAAAACCCCATCTCTACCAAAAATACAAAAATGAGCTGAGCGTGGTGTCAGACGCCTGTAATCCCAACTACTTGGGAGGCTGAGGCAGGAGAATGGCTTGAACCTGGGAGGCAGAGGTTGCAGTGAGCCAAGACCGCGCCATTGCACTCCAGCCTGGCTGAGAAGAGTAAAACTCCGTCTCAAAAAAAAAAAAAAAAAAAAAAAAAGCAGCCAGAGAATCTGCTCATGTCTTCTTTCTCAGAGACAGAGATTTTTGCTTTGGGTTCCATCTGAACTTTATAATCTGGTTCTCATCCCCTGATAAAGTGTCAAGCCAGCAAACCTGCAGTGGTGCTTCCTGGTCTTCCTGATCCAGCCATCCTTTCTTCTTTTTAGTCTCCTTTGGTCGCTGCCCATCTTTGAGTTTCCAGAGGTCTTCTGCTTGGCCTCCAACTGCTTCCTTTGCCACGTCTTTTGATTTCTTAATGACCCTGAGAGTATTTAAATAATTGTTAGTGTTCATCTTGATTGCTACCATACTCAGCTTGCAGTAGTATGTGAGTTTTTACAGTGAAACTTCCTATGTATAGTAATACAATTTATATCTACACCAGAGTCACTACATCTTCTGTGTTGTTACTATATAGCAATTACACAATTCCACCCTTTTTAAAGAGAAAAACTAGCCCTCGGGAGCAGAAAAATATTTCAATCAAGTAATAGATAACTTTGCTTATTAAAAAACACACATACGTGAGAGGAAATCATTCCTTAACTGTCTTTGAGACACGACATCCCCTAAAAGGCCTTATTTACACTTGCTCACACCCAATCTCTCGTGGGGATTACAGAGATAATTTAGAGCAGAGTCTGGTGGCTCCCTAGTATTCAGCACTTTCAAATGCTAAATCAGCTCTGTTTATGTGAAGCGATGAATAATATTCTTTGAGTTAGAGTTTTTTTTTGTAATTCATAATACTCCCTTCTTTTTCCCAGGCCCATGTAAGCATATGGAAAATGTATGATTATTTCAAATAACACTAAATACTTAAAAGCAAAGTCAGTACTGTTGTTATTCCCTGCAGCCAGTGGACAGAGGTTTACATTACAAGGCCCGACATAAAATAGGCCTCAAGATGGAGGAGCAAGAAACCTTTGCTAGAATTTGAATGTACACAACTGTACAGGAGATTTGCTGCCTACAAAGGAAATCCTTCTAGCAATGACTCACTGGCCTGATGGGATACAGGTGTCACAAAGATCACAGGAAAAGTAAAATGTAACGTAAGTATAATTTTCAGGTTTAAAAATCCTGACATTGGCCAGGCGCGGTGGCTCAAGCCTGTAATCCCAGCACTTTGGGAGGCCGAGGCGGGTGGATCACGAGGTCAGGAGATCGAGACTATCCTGGCTAACATGGTGAAACCCCGTCTCTACTAAAAATACAAAAAACTAGCCGGGCGTGGTGGCGGGCGCCTGTAGTCTCAGCTACTTGGGAGGCTGAGGCGGGAGAATGGCGTGAACCCGGGAGGCGGAGCTTGCAGTGAGCCGAGATCACGCCACTGCACTCCAGCCTGGGAGCACAGCGAGACTCCGTCTCAAAAAAAAAATAAAAAAATCCTGACATTACAAGTCTTTTAAAATAAAGGGCTGACACTAGTGAACACAAACAGATAGGTTCTTATATACCACTCTGGTGCTGAGAGTTCAAATCCTGAATGTGAGTTTGGTCTCTGTGCATCCTCCTAGCACACCTTAATGGCACGTGATGTATGGAGGCTAAAAAGGACTGTGCCATTTATCCACACACCAGGGTCCTTAGCTTAGCCATTTACAAGGGCTTGAAATGCTTCCTATACAGGCAATGAGGCACTTCTGATCCTCACTGAAGTCAATTGTTCCTTGAGAATTTATAACTTGAGGGTAAAATTTTGACTTTCAAAAATTTGGGCCCTACTCAAGATTTATAGTATAGGAAGGAAGACTTTGTGCTGACCTTCCCTGCATTTCTTCCCGTTGTCTTTCTTCTTCCTCTTTTTCTTTTTGTTCACGAGCAAGGCGGCGTAATTCTGTCAAAATTTTTGTTGCCGCCTCGGCATTCATAATACCTGCAGTACTCTTATTACCAGACTCTAGTTTAAATAAATATGTGCAACAGTTAGTTTAGAGAGCTAATCATCTCTCACTCCAACAAAGAAGTGCAACACAATCCAAAACATTAAAATATATATATATATGTGCATAGTCCAAAATTTATAAATCACAAGCAAACTACAGGCGATTATGTAACAGATTTTGTTCAAACTGCACCCCCAACAATAGCTGTAGCATTTTCTTTTTAACACCTACTTGTTCCAAAATGGAATAATGTACTTCTACTTTCCTTTTAGTGGTTTTGAGATAACTGAATCAACTAATCCCATGGGAAAAGAGTAAGAAATACTGAATATAGAGGAAGACAAGCTTACGCTTGGTCCAAACGAAGGGTACAAGTATCTTCAATACTCAAACAAAAATACATTTGGCATACATTTTGAGATTTGTCCATCATTTTTATTATATAATTACTAGTTAGCTAAACCTTGATAATAGTGTGTACATTTGGTTGATCATAGAGTAGCTAACTGTAGATAACAAAACCAAGACAATCAGTAAAATAAGGTGAGTACACGAAGGCATATAATAATATTTTGGTCTATATAACTAATTTATTTTAAATGAATCACATATGAAAATGAGAAGACATATCAGGAATGAGTAATCTGTAATTAAAAGATTTTTTCTGTTACCAAAAAATTCACTGTGGAATTCCCTAAAAAAGCAAAATTCCCCAGTGTGTTTTTGAAATTAAGTAATGTCCATGGGTATTAAGAATGCATGTGACGGGCAAAATAGCAATATGGCACTTTCAGGAATACTACACAAATCAAGGGACACCACATTATGGCCTATATATAGAAACGAACCTAAATCTTGTGAAAAACCTGCTCATCCACGAGTGGATATGCTCTCTCCAAGAACCATCACTATCAGAACTAGAAGGGATCTTAGGAATCACCTAGACCAAACCTCTCATCCGACCTGTGCTTTTTTTTGATACAGGATCTCGCTCTCTCATCCAGACTAGAGTGGAGAGGCACTATCACGGCTCACTGCAGCCTCCACCTCCTGGTCTCAGGCAATCCTCCCACCTCAGCCTCTCTACTAGCTGGGACTATAGATGTGTACCACCTTAAGCTAGGCAGTTATAGTATAATATGGCTTACTCTTATCCTCAATCCCCTAACAGAATATACAGCCTACCCTTTCCACATCAGGCTAATTTTTTTTTTTTTTTCTGTAGAAACAGGGGTCTCTCTCCTATATTGCCTGGGCTGGTCTCAAACTCCTGGGCTCAAGCAATCCTCTCACCTCAGCCTCCCAAAGTGCTGGGATTACAGGCGTGAGCTACCATGCCTGGCCAGACTTATGCTTTTAAAAGCAGTTCCAAAAATGGATTTTTCAAAACAAAGGGGTGAGAAGAAAGCTTTGGCAAGGACAAACAAACAGAGAGGATACATTCCAATGTACCAGAGATTGGTTAGATTCTCTTTATCTAAAAGGAAAATAATTCCCTAAAGTTCTCTCAATTGGGGAATAAAATGAAGTGAACTTTTCCCAGAATACAGTAAGATTTTCTGTGTTGCTAGAGATAAACTTCTTAGTGCAAGAACTTACCTTCATAGATCATATGCCTTTGGCTCAAAGCCTCACATCTGTTAGTGGTTTTAGAAACTGTTTCATTTTTCTTTTTGACAGTACTTGATGCACTTTGCACAGACATGGTGTGTTGAATAGGCATCATTTTATAAGGAAAAGAAGTCGGTGGTGACTGTTTTGAAATAAGTGGTAATGGTGATGGAGGGCGGTTCTTTTGGATTTGCCTGCTGAGAAAAAGTAATACACATTTGCTAATTAATTTTCAGTGTACAATTTCGTAAAATTTAAGATGATATTATGAGGTGACATTATAATCGGGGAATTTTTCTGAACAGTAAATCCCTTTTTACAGGCTTTTTCCCCTTTACATTTGTGTTACCATGCATACTATATTATTTCACTCATCAAACATTGACACGGAATTTGTTCTAGTAAAATGCCTATCAGGAACAGTTGCAAATAAGCTACTTACTTAGTGCTGATGGGAGATGGCAGACCACAGACATTTGCAGGAGATGATGACCATTTATAACACTCCGTGTATGATGATAGACGCTTCTTGGCAATAAGGGTTAAGGCCTGTTTTACCATGTCTGATTTCTGAACAGGTAAACACAATATAGTAAATTACTAACAATTCTTTTACTGTAGCTGGCTTTTTTTTTTTTTTTTTTTTGTCTGATTTCTGAACAGGTAAACACAATATAGTAAATTACTAACAATTCTTTTACTGTAGCTGGCTTTTTTTTTTTTTTTTTAAGAGAAAAACATTCTGAATAAAACACAATTAGAATTCTTTACACTGCAATTTTCTTTTAGAGCATGAGAATCAGGACATTGATATTTGCTTCTGGACTAACAATTTACATTACACAATTCCAGGAGATCACAGAAATAACAGGTTTAAAAGAAATACTATCCTTCAAAACCAAACTCAATTTCCAAATCCTAATTCAGGGTTTAAAACATTTCTCAAAAAACATTTCTTCAGAGTTTAGAAACACAGTTCATATAAACTTACATTTTCTCCCTTCTAATAAAAACTCACTAATATTTCAGCTTTGGAGGAAAAGTGGTACAATGGACATCAGAGAATTTTAAATTCCTAGTTTAAGTGAGTTAACCTATTTTATTAATTATATTGCAGAATACTGTAAATAATATGCCGGTTATGTTGTAAAATCTGACCTATTTTGAACTATACAACAAAATATACATATTTTAATAGAAAATTTGTCAATAACAGGCACTTGACAAACCTTTGGAGCGTCTCTCGCTTTTGCCTTGGGAGATGCTTCCATGCTTGCTTCAAGGGATGTCTTGGAGGATGCTTTCACCATTGCCTCAGGAGACGCCTCCATGCTCTCTTTGGGTGACCCTTTCACACTCTGCTTGGGGGCACCTTCTGTACTCCCCTTGGGAGGTGCTTCCAGGCTCCCCTCTAGGGCTGCTTCCATGCTCACTTCTGATGGTGCTTCCAGACTTGCTTCTGGGAGTGCTTCCAGGCTCGCCTCTGGGGGTGATTCCACACTTGCCTCTGGGGCTGCCTCCACACTCACCTCTGGGAGTGCTTCCAGGCTCACCTCCGGGGATGCTTCTATGCTCACCTTGGGAACTGTTTCCAGGTATACCTTCAGGGGTGTGTCTATGCTCAACTCGGGGGATGCGTTCGTGCTCATCTCAGAATCACATGTGCTCACCACAGGTGACACATCCACACTCGCCACAGGGGATGAGTCCGTGCTCACCTCAGCAGCCATGCCCACACTTGCCTTGGGGGATGCTTCCATGCTTGTGTTGCAGAATACTTCCACATTCACCTGGGGGGGTGCATCCACACTTGCCTTGGGAGGTGTCTCTACTTTCTCCAAGGGAGCCTCTTCTACTTTTGTTTGAGGAGGTATTTTCATTGCTGACATGGGAAACATAACAGCCCTCAATTCGTCACTAGTACATTTACGCAAGGGTACGGTGACATACCGCATTACATAATTGGTGACACCTGTAACTGAATGAGGACAGAGAATGAAATTCCCTAAGTTAGAAATCTGACAAGAAAAGGATGCACCATGTACACAGTATAAGAACAGGAACAGAGAAAAGAGATTGTGTATTAGGAAAGCACAGGGATTACACACAACACAGGAGAAGTTTAGTGAAATGGATGACAGACACAGGACAGAACCATCACAAAATCAGTACTTCAGAAGCAACATTAACAACAGTCGTTGTAAAGGCAATAGTCTATTACAGATGAAAATAAGATGCTTCTCCAAAGTTGATGTTTGCAATAAGCTGTTTCTATTTTAATCATACTATATTTCAGAATAATTTTCACAAAAAAGCACAAGGTCTTCAACCCTTTCTAAAAGTAATCTAAACATCTTCACCAGGGCTAGAGATCTTACCATTATAGGTGATTATGTAAGACACTCCATATTTTAATGTTTTAGAATAGAATGTAAGAAAGAGCATTTTCTCGCCACACTAAAAACTGTAATAAGACATTAATCAGAGTGGGTTGGATCTCTAAGGTCCCTTCCACGTTTAACAATCTAATTTTATGTTTCCTATCAAATGGACAAAAATGATATTTGGTGCCAGGTAAGATAGAAGAAAGTGATTAATACCAATGTTTAGAACCTCATCACCACTGGTGGGAGTATAGATGTGTATATTTTCCCTGGGGAGCATAAAAAGTACATACTGTTTGTTCGAGCAATTCTACTTCTAGGTTTACCCTTAGGAAAAAAAAATTACATAAATACATAAAAATGCTTGTATAAGGTTTCTAATTACTACTGTTTATAATATTGAAAAAATTGAAAATACCATCCAAATGTTCCAAAGGAAATGTGGGCCATATTAAGGCAGTCACTAAGAGTAATAATATGCAATATTTTGGACATAGGAGATGGAAAACAGGTTATTTCATTTTGTGAAAAAGAAAATGCAAAGAAAAATATGAAGTTACCAGTGAGCACTGGGATAATGGGGGATTAGATTAAAAACTTCTTCTACACGAAATATTTATTGCTTATACGATTAATTTTTTTTTTTTTTTTTTGAGATGGAGTCTCGCTGTATCACCCAGGCTGGAGTGCAGTGGCGCGATCTTGGCTCACTGCAACCTCCGCCTCCCAGGTTCAAGCGATTCTCCTGTCTCAGCCTCCCAAGTAGCTGGGATTACAGACATGTGCCACCACACCCGGAAAATTTTGTATTTTTAGTAGAGACGGGGTTTCACCATGTTGCCAGGCTGGTCTTGAACTCTTGACCTCAGGTGATCCACCTGCCTCAGCCTCCCAAAGTGCTGGCATTACAGGCATGAGATACCACGCCTGGCCTAACTAAATATTTTTCAAAAGGTATTTGGAGGTGGCTTAAGACCTAGTAAATTAAATTAAAAAAAAAAAAAAAAAAAAAGACCTGGTTAAATTTATCTGCCACCTCATCTTTAAGTATGGGTGGCAAATTTTCACCTAATCTTATCAAATAATTAAAATAGACCAAATTACCAAAGATTGACTACTTATGAATAAAATCTTTAGCGAAATTAAATGTTATCTTTTAGTCCCTCATTTTTAGTGGAGAAAGCATTTTATTTACATATCTACGTATGCCTAAACGGCCCCATTTACACCAACAGTTTGTGCTGCAGAAAATATAGTATAACTGGATTTTTATTAGCTATAAACTTTTAAGACAAAATACTGAGGTTTTTTGGATGGTGGTAATAGAAATATCTTACCATAGATTCGGTGGGAAAGGGAGACTGGCAGAAAATAACCTGACATACATATAATTGGGCATAAAAAAGTCAGGAATTAGAACAAAAGAAATAAGACTGCAGTACAAGAAAGTCTGTAATAGCATTTAGATGCATTTTACTAATCATATGAATACTAACAGAGAAAAAGCAAAGGGAGTGGGATATACACTGTAAAGGAAAAAGTGGAGGGGAAAAAAGAGAAAAAAATCATAGGAACAATGCATTAGCCCTTTCCATTATTGGGGGGGGGGGGTCTAGCTATCCAAAGGCAAGTCTAATACTATATGTAAACTATAAATGAAAGTCCACACAACCCTGAAGATGTTTCATGTTAAGAACAATCTTTAGGTCTCTAACTAAAAGCTGAAGGGTGGCTCTATGCTATTCTTCCATATTTTAGGGGAAAAAAGGAAGGTAGAGTAGAAAACTTTCTCCCTTGATATGAGTGAAGGTTTTCTATATTTTTAAAACCCATAGAGCTTTAAAATTTAACAACCACCTCCAAAGTTAGCTATCTCATCCCACAAATTACCTGTCTCCCACATAACTGCCCTATCATGTTAGAAGTCATAAAATAAATATGCAACATCAAATGCTGGGTAAAATCACTAATACGATAACTATTGATTCAAACTATTTTGATGCCTAAATGCAACAAATTCAGTAATGAAGCCTGCTTTGAAATGCAAACACTTAACAACTCCTGGCTTTCCACCATATACCTGTTACCTGGAACATCTTTTCCAGGACTGGATAATGAAGCAGCACTTCTGCTTCTGGCTAATGATGCTTTTGTTGGGCTGAACAGACAACTGATGAAATCATTCTCTTGAGAACTGATATATGAGCAACGAGCTATATAATGCAAACAAATCCAAAGGATTCCATTGGAGGTCTCACAAACGCAAAGCAAGAAAGAGCAAGGCAAACTGCTCTCAACAGCACCTTTCCCGGCAACACAAAACATACCAGGATTGAACACTGTCATCTGACTGGACTGCACTGTCAAGGAAGAGATTCTCAGAATAAAAGGAGAAAGGCCACAGCATACATACCAAAATAACTCTAAGGAAAGAATCTAGGTAACATTTCAAACAGAGTCATTCCCCACTGTATGAAGTTTATGGAGGAACTCACACTTGAGGAAATCAAGTTGCACACGGCAAAACAACTTTTACAAGGATTCCTACAGATAGACAGTACTGAAAATCATAATGGTCAAGTTCACTGCCAAAGGCTCCAAGGAAGTGAGTAAACACTTTTGTTAAAAGTAAATTTTGTTGTAAATATCTTGCTCCAATAAATCTTCATGTTCATAAAGATCCCTGTGTCAATGACATTTGTTCTAACAGGATTTGACTTGAATCAATTAAGTGGAGAGTCTTCTATAAAGGAATGGTTTGGTATCAAACAAAAAGCAACAAATACACGTGAAAGGAAAATGCTAGGGAAAGGTGTTAAAAAGAAACTTTATGGCCAGTCACGGTGGCTCACAGCTGTAATCCCAGCACTTTGGGAGGCCGAGATGGGTGGATCACCTGAGATCAGGAGTTTGATCAAGACCAGCCTGACCAACATGGCAAAACCCCACTTCTACTAAAAATACAAAAATTAGCCAGGCGCGGTGGCAGGCGCCTATAATCCCAGCTACTCGGGAAGCTGAGGCAGGAGAATCACTTGAACCCGGGAGGTGGAGGTTGCAGTGAGCTGAGATGGTGCCACTGCCCTCCAGCCTGGACAACAGAGCGAGACTCTATTTCAAAAAAAAAAAGAAAGAAAGAGAGAAAGAAAAGAAACTACTTTATACAAAGAAATGCTTTAGTAATCACTGTGAAATTTTGTGAATAATCAGCAGTGAAAATATGCACAAAGGATGTATGTGGGTAATGTTATGAAGCAAGGGCAAAGCTTTCAAGTTCGAAATGTGGCCAGGTATTTCAACTTCCAAATCCAAATTAATGAAATACTGGAAGTGCATCAAATCCTCCAGTACACACCTATCTATACCAATATTCTGTGATTTACTTCCTCAGCTGCATTATCCACCCCTTGTCAGATGATGCCAGGAATTATATAGTTCATTTAAAGACAGATTTTTCTGGTTTTAGCCAAATAAGCATGGCACCAAAGCACATTTTTTAGTTTAAGAAGGAGTATTTTGGCTTCCAATTTTGGGAATGATTTTTCAAGCAATTCAATGTTGACATAAAATACCTCTTTTAAAAAACTATTTAAAATTTGTATTTAGAAGCAACTAACCACGTGGCTTCCTTTCTGCTTGTTCTTTATCAGTAGACGAATGTAGGTTACTATCTCTTCTATTTAAAGATGAGCTTCTCTCATTGTCTGTTTTCCCTAGAGAGCAAGTACAAAAGAATATTAGTTTTCATAAACTACTAATTATCTCAGGAGTGAGACACTCCTTTTTCAAACATTTTTTATGTTCTCTACCTTGCTTATAAGATTTAATTTCAAATATTATGCAGAGATTCTATATCCCCAAACTTAAAACAAGTTTATTCTTTATCTGAAATGAAAAAAAAAAATTATTTAGAAAACGGTAAAAATTAAGAGGTAAAATGTCTGATACTATCTGACATCAAAGTTCCCAAATTACAAACATACAACCCTTTAGACATGATGCCTAATACTTAAAAGCAATTTATACTTCAGTTATAACTAGTATTTTTGTTATATATGCATATATTTTAAAAAGATATATATGTATACACACATGTACACACACACACGCACACACCAATATAATAAAATGAAGAAAACATGAAGCTCCAGTATCATTTAAATAAAGATATTTGCTCTTAACATAAAGAAAATGAATTATCTGAGTTACACATGTATCAACGTGTAGGCTTGAACAGACTGTCAGTGTTTTACCCTACAGAGCCATTCTTTTGATATCAGGTATAAAGTTATTGATAGCTGTAGCATCATGGCCAAAAAATGGCTTTCAGAGGCTCGGGTCCTGGACCTTACAAGTTAAATAGTTATAACTAGTATTTTTAAAATAAAAATGAATATTAACAATTGGTATAGATGCCACGATTTAAGCAACCCAAGGAGAAATAATCTGCTTCCGTGTAGACACTTTCATTTCACTTGAGATATTCTAGCTCAGAATACTGAGAAATGTCTGGTTTTTTTTTGTTTTTTTTTTTGTTTTTGAGACGGAGTCTGGCTCTGTCGCCCAGCCTGGAGTGCAGCGGCCAGATCTCAGCTCACTGCAAGCTCCGCCTCCCGGGTTCACGCCATTCTCCTGCCTCAGCCTCCCGAGTAGCTGGGACTACAGGCGCCGCCACCTCGCCTGGCTAATTTTTTGTATTTTTTTAGTAGAGACGGGGTTTCCCCGGGTTAGCCAGGATGGTCTCGATCTCCTGACCTCGTGATCCACCCGTCTCGGCCTCCCAAAGTGCTGGGATTACAGGCTTGAGCCACCGCGCCCGGCTGAAATGTCTGTTTAAAAAATAATTTCTCGGCTGGGCGCGGTGGCTCAAGCCTGTAATCCCAGCACTTTGGGAGGCCCAGACGGGCGGATCACAAGGTCAGGAGATCGAGACCATCCTGGCTAACCCGGTGAAACCCCGTCTCTACTAAAAATAAAAAAACTAGCCGGGCGAGGCGGCGGGCGCCTGTAGTCCCAGCTACTCCGAAGGCTGAGGCAGGAGAATGGCCTAAACCCGGGAGGCGGAGCTTGCAGTGAGCTGAGATCCGGCCACTGCACTCCAGCCCGGGCGATAGAGCAAGACTCCGTCTCAAAAAAAAAATAATAATAATAATAATTTATCTTTCGGGGATTTGTAAACTAAAGTACATGTTGACAACACAGCATCATCTGCAAATTCCTTGAATTAATAACATGATTGAGCAGCATGAACCACAGAGGTGGTTCGATCATGTGATTAAAGTCGGTACCTTTCATTAGCATACTGCAAAAAATGACAAAATGGTGTGAGCAGTTATTATGAATCAGCAATGAGTAGAAAAAAGTAGACTACTTGAATCAACCCAGATTTAAAATAGTTATTTAAAATATTACAGGTTACATTATTAACTTCATTTGAGTTTAAAATGTTGATCTCTCTGAATTGACCAGGTTTCATTTCAATTTAAAGGTAAGACATTGCCAATATGGATTTTATTTCTTAGAAATCATTAATTATAGCATTCATTATTTCAGAGTGTGCAACATACTGTACCTTTAAGCAAGTTATTTCACAAAGTGTCTTCCACACATACCTTCTTGTAATAAAAGTTAATAAAGAAATCATTTTAAAAGTTTTATTTGGAATTGCTCCGTCACAGTACAATTTAACTAATTATTATCCTGAAGTCATAATCTGTCCCTTCTCTTGACCTGTCTCACTAATAAGGCTTTTGCTCATTATATTAAATATGTAATAAATGTCTATGAGATAAATCTTTGCTAATTCCTGAAAGCAATTAGATAGTAAAACAGAGTCAATGCTTGTGGAACAATTAAGATATATTAAAATGAAAGTACATAAACATGGCACTGCAATTAATGTTATCTAATTTTTCTAAAGGATTTAGTTGGTGAATAATAAATTTTACCATATTATAAGCAAGGTGCCAGAGAAAATCTTCCCATATTAATCTATGAATGAACCCAGACTATACATAAAAATGCTTTGGGAAAGCACATTGAGGGTGGAGGTGGTAAGTGGATGAACTTTTCTCAGACCAATACAAGAGAAAATGTGATATACTCAGACTGACAATAAAATAAAAGACCTCTCAAGCTCATCATTGAAATTTTAAGAGTCCTAAAAGTACAAATAACACAATGTAAGTTTGAACAGAAATCCTTTCCCCCTCGAAATCCTTTTCAACATATTAAAAACTATATTGTTTTAGGCAAAAATGGAAATCTTTTCCATAAGGTTAACTACTGCTACAATTAATTACACTTTAAATGGTATCCAAAATCTTTTGCTGTACTGGAATTTTACAGCAATCAGCATTGCTCAAAAATTGTCGAGACACCTAATAATGCAAAACAAACATTTTAAAATTCAAACTATAATTACGCCTTATTCAATTCACAAGGCACAAAAGCCATCCTTCCTCATCTTTTTTAATGGCTAAGTTTAAAGGAATGATGTGGAATTTGTTCTCTCTTTTTCCTCTCAAGAACACTCCTTTTTTTCCTCTGGAAAGAAAAGGGATCCTTTTTTTGGATTGATGGGTATGGTTGCCTAATCCATTTCAATTATCAGTGAGAGGCACCATGTGCTACAAGCCAGACATGGTTATTGACACACACTTGGGTATAGATTTTTCTTTTAATAAGGAACACTAATTAAAAGGGTACACACCAGAAACAAAAAGATATTTGAATTATTCATAGTAGACAACTTCACTGTATTTGAAACAACTCTGTGTTGCCATTAGGAAGAGTAGTAAAGTGGAGCTTGGCAATACGTCTATCATTAAACATCATTATCACTTTATTTGCTTTTGGGGGAAAACATTGACTTATAAATGAAAGGTACAATTTAAATATCATGATCCATCTATCAAATAACCAAAATATAAACCATAGAAAAGGATGTTAGAGTAGAAATCACTGAATTTCTTGGAGTCTTAATTATAAAACAAGGAAGGCAATTCTATTTGTCTGTCAATTTTCTAAGATAATTGTGAATAACAAATATGACATATGTAATGCAGATCAACCTGTCCACTGCTATATATATGCTATTATTTTTCTAAAATGAGGTAATATTCACAATACTTAATGGAAATTGAATAACTAGTCTAACCAGTCTGTAGAAAACACAATTTCACTTATAGGCTGGTAGAATATGAACTGATTTTCAAATAAATAATTATGCCACTTAATGGCAATGTCTTTTGACCAAAATATGTTTCAGTTTCAGCTACTGAGGTCCAATAATCCCATCTGATATGATTAACACAAACATCATGAAACAAGTATATTGATGAAAATACAAGGCCAGGCATGGTGGCTCACGCCTGTAATCCCAGCACTTTGGGAGGCCGAGGTGGGTGGATCACTTGAGGTCAGGAGTTTGAGACCAGCCTGGCCAACATGGTGGAACCCCGTCTCTACCAAAAGTACAAAAGGTAGCTGGGCATGGTGATGCATGTCTGTAATCCCAGCTACTTGGGAGGCTGAGGCATGAGAATCGCTTGAGCCCATGACCCATGAGGCAGAGGTTGCAGTGAGCCAAGATCATGCCACTGCACTCCAGCCTGGGCAATAGAGCGAGACTCTGTCTCAAAAAAAAAAAAAAAAAAAAAAGTATGACTAACTCTCTCCCTCTGCTGTAAAGTAACATGGGACTCTTTTGAAATAAACCTAAATGTTCCACAATCTAAATAGGTGGTACTGTAAAAATATAAATAACTGATTTCATTAAATAGAAATTCAGTAGAATACATGAAATAACTACTTACTTTTGGCAACGGAATTTTGAAGGCTTGCAGATGACAAAGGCATTTGTCTGATTAAAGCAGAAGCTCCCTGTTCAAGTTTTTCAGTAGATGCAGATCGTTTATTGGCTGAGAAAAGACATAATACTTACTGTAATCATATTTCAAGGAGGAAAGCATCATTAACTGAAACAAAATGAGTTTTCATGATGTAGTTCTATGGAGCACAGACTTACATTACTCAAGCTCACAATATTCACTGCCAGTCAATCAATTTTTTTTTTTTTTTTTTTTAAATTGAGACGGGGCTTCACCATGTTGGCCAGGCTCGTCTCAAACTCTTGACCTCAAGTGATCTGCCTGCCTTGGCCTCTCAAAGTGTTGGGACTACAGGCTTGAGCCACGGCAACTGGCCAATCCTTCTAAACTATATAAATTTTACTTTTGTTTTCTGAAATTGTGTAGAACTATGTGCATATAAGAAAATTTACACTGAATCAATAGTAGACAAGGTAGACTTATTTTTAAAAATATGCATTCGATAAGCTGCGTAAAACTTACTCATTATTCATCATTTTTCTGCTGATTATAAGTTTAAATAAGATTTTAGGTATATTGAGCTAATTAAAATCTACTATAACATTTCACCTGTTTCCTTTGCAATGGCATATGATACAAATTTAAGTTTACTATGTACAGTATTTTTGTTTAGGATACAAACACTAAAACCTTGCTGTAAATGCAAGCTTCTACTCATAGCCAATATTTAAATAAGAACATAAACAAACTTAAAATTTAACAGGTGTATTAATTACCAGTTTTGCTCTCAGAATTCGCCATTGCAGAGCCTCCCCATGACCATCTTTTTTGCTGATAATCGTCAGCAAGTCTCCTCCGTTCCAAAGTACGATAAAGAATGGCTGTAAATTTTTCCTATTTAAAATAAATGCCAACATATTTTTACATATTCATTATATTAGTCAGTATAATTTTGATCTGTAGCTTATAAAATAAACCATAACCAAATTTCTGTCTCAGGTAAAAGTTTAAGATAATTGGCGATATGTCTCAGCTATCTATCAGTACCAGTGCTTCTCCTAAATAACTCATTTTTTTTTATCTTATGGACCCTGCATTGAGAAAATGACCACGCTTTCCTCTTTGTTTATATAATCAGGAAACTTAGAGCCAAATGTGTAGCCTCTTTCTAGCAACTGTGCAAAGACTGACTGGTGTACTTTTGTGTATGCTAATCATACCTTATGTTTTATTTGCCTACCTTAATTTTCTCCTCTGCTTGATTCCCCCAACCATTTATTTTATCATCTGGTGTGGTATGTATTTTTAAGTCATCTTAAATTCTTTGTGGAAGGAGGCAGGGGAAAAATCAGCACACATGAAAGTTAAATTTATACCAGAATCATCTATTATACTCACATCTGTAACAGCTTAAATTCTGGTGTTAACTAATAAAAATAAAGTTTCAAAAAAGACAATCAATATATTTGTCTTGACCTCAACTTTAACTTAAACTGGTTAAGACAACAGCTATACAAAGTAAATGCCATGCTGTAGCAAAACAACTCCACTTCCAGAAATGAGCTCTTCTCTCAAATATTTCTCATCCTTGTACTGTACCATAGCATGAACTCAGGTAAGCAAATCAACTTTTAGGACCAAAGGTCTTCTATTTTTCCCTAACAACAACCGTTTCACAGCAAACGCCATTCTTACAAAGCCTCTACTGTTTCTACCAAGGGCAAAGATAAATGTACTAGGAAAATGGAGAGGAGCCGTATCTTCTGAGAAGAAAAGCAACTGCAATTCTTAAAGTTGATATAATGGCAACATTTGAAAACTGTATTTTCTAACAGAAAGGCAGTTGTTCTGAATTACTTAGAAACCCTGAAACTATAATAGACTAAAAACAAAGATTAACTTTGTATTATTAAACTATTTCTGATTCTATTCCACCGTTTCCAAATACATTACCTACTGTGCTCTCTTCCAGATCCCTTCTCACACTATGGCCACCCAGGGCTCACGTGGAAGTTCCTATCCCATTTCATATACACCTCAGCACCACTGAGTATGGGTTTTTTCCTGCTCTCCAGAATTCCTCTCTTTTGCTATATGTAGCCTGCTTACAGTGTCCCATGTCCCCTGTTCTGTCTGGGACTCCCCTGCACTAGCTATCTGGGGTTTTCTTTTGCCCCTTCTCCTGCCATGTCCGTGGCTCCCTTTCTGTCTGTAGTGTCATTCTGCTGCATTCTCTTCTCTTCTCTGTGTTCTCTCTGGCAGCTTCCTCTTTCTCTAAGATAGTCTTTATTTTTTGGTCTCAGTCCCTGTGACTTGTCTCTCTCCTCCATGGACTCCCACTCACTCTACACACAGTTTATATTTCACTTTCTTTGGTTCTTTACTTAGTTCTTGGTTCTTTCTTGGTTTATCTTTACTTAGTTCATTCTCTCTCTCTCTCTCTCTCTCTCTCTCTGGCCTTCATCTCTTCACTACAGATAAGTAAAATAAGAGATGTTTCACAGAGGATGATGGGAAGTGACAGAAATTCTGAATGAGAGTCTACCAAATACTAGAGCATGAAACAGAACATAAACAACCACAGAAAAAGGTTCAGAAAGAGAGAGACAGAGACACAGTACACCATGGATGGGGAAGAGGTGGTATAAGAAGTGTCCTAGAATCAGGAAGCTCTCCAGATCGGGTGCAGGGCTGGAGAGGAAGCACGTAGAAGAGCAACGGTATGGATGAGGGAGGAAACTGAGCACCGCAGAGAAAGACAAGAGGAAGCTTTATGGGAGAAATGGAACCAAAGAGAAAAGGAGAGAAAAAGAAACGTAAATATTAGAGCGACAGAAAATAAGAGAGGGAAATAAAAATACAACACACTGAGAGAAAGGCAGGCAGAGGATATAAAGATGGGGAAAAACAGACAGAAGCTAAGACAAAGACAGAAAAAAGAAAAGCGAGCTGCCTCAGGCAGAAAAAGGCCAGAGTCAGACAGAGACCAAAAGATAGACTAAGGTTTATTTAGGGACACTTAAGAATCCCTGTAATGGGCTGGGCAGGGTGACTCACGCCTGTAATCCCAGCACTTTGGGAGGTCGAGGAGGGTGCATCACGAGGTCAGGAGTTCAAGACCAGCCTGGCCAAGATAGTGAAACCCCATCTCTACTAAAAATATGAAAATTAGCCAGGCGTGGTGGTGGGCGCCTGTAATCCCAGCTACTTGGGAGGCTGAGGCAGGAGAACTGCTTGAACCCGGGGGCCAGAGGTTGCAGTGAGCCAAGATCATGTCACTGCACTCCAGCCTGGGCGACAGAGTGAGACTCTGTCTCAGAGAGAAAAAAAAATCCCTGGAATAAAGAGAAAGAGAGAATGCCAGGAAGATAGAAAACGGTGTCACAGAGACCACGCTAGATTCAGAAGGAGTCAAGCATACTCCAAGTCAAGTAGTGAAATGACCTACAAGAGAAAAATTAGGTGTCAGAATCATACAGAATGAGACAGGTAGCCAGATGCCCAGTACCACAAAAGACAAACTGAAGAGGTACAGAAGTGAAAAGGAGAGGGCATAACAAAGCCACGGACTCATCCCAACAGAGTGCCAAGGACACCAAAAGAGAATCCAGAAAGGAAATGAGAGGGGCAGTGCCACAAAACAAAAGCAAGAATGCTGACTCTGAACCACACATCCAGAGGGGCCCTGTCAGGAAAGGGAATGTGAGGAACATGGGGACAGAGGGTAGAGAGGGAGAGAGTGTGAGTGTGCACCACAGGGAGCCAGGGAAGCTGAAAGGGAGAGCGAGTGCCCTGATTTGGCTCGGGAGTCACACTCTTAAAGGAGTTGTGAGAAATCAGTCAGATGAGGGCATGTCAGGGAGGGTCAGACAGTGGGGTCTGCCCTTATTCTGCAGGCAATGAGACAACAGTGAATGCTTTTTGGTAGTAAACATAGCCACTCAGAACAAACCCCAGGCCACAGGTACCTCATGTGCAAGTCCTGAAGGTGGACGGGGTTTTGTTCCTGGATTTGGAACGCTCCCCATTCCCTAGGCTAGTGGATCTAAGCTCCTGGGATCTTATCAGGACATAAGTAAGAGCCTATATAATGCTGAGGGGAAGGGGAAACGAAGAAGAAAGAGCTGGGATTGGTTCCCTTTCTACAGGGCCAGTAAGGCAGAGAAGGCCTGAGAAAACAATATTCCAGGCTCAGGCAACACAGATTATCCTCTCATGTATAGGCTGTAAAATTACGTACCTTTTGTGCTTCATCCTTCTGGTGTCTTTTTTCTTCTGCGGCTATTCTCCGTTGTTCTTCTTTCTCTTTTCGTTCCTTCAGCTTTCTCTGTCTTTCCTCCATCTGTTTTTCATATTGGAGCTTGGTCTTTCTTTCTTTTTCAAGTAGTTGTGTTTCTTTATTGGCTGAAATATTCCAAATACATTTTCAAGGTGTAAGAGCCAAGAAAATATTTAGGTTTTCCACATCACACACACAGAAGGAAAAAGTTAACATATCTCATTCCCTTTCTTAACACAACCTGTGCTAGTAACTAAAGATTTATTATAAAAGTGAACAGAGGTAGCCACTGAAGAACCATTTTCACTGAGTATTCATTTAACTCTGGAGAACTGGATTGTCTATGCCAAATGACTCTTATCCTGTCCAAACTACAATTCCAAATTAAGAAAAAATATTTTCTTTCATGTGATATTTCTGCTGATTTGAGCTAAAGTCAAACCCTACCATATTAATATGCTGTACATTAAAATACTAATTTTTAAAAACCACATGGACAGGATATATGTTTTGTTCCCTTCTACTAGGAAACTTCTTTCAAAGTCCTCATCTATACAGACCATATTAAACATGCCAGTTTTACATTAATGGACTCAACCATATACCACATTATAGGAGAGCACAATTTTTTCTATATTCAAATTTTTCCCTCACTAAATGCTTCTGAAGTGTGACTCTGTATAAATTAGGATCTAAAAGGATAATCTTTTTACAACTTGGTAACATGCTTTTCATCTTATCTATATTAGGATTACTGGCAATTTATTTTCAGTTTTAGAATCACTTTTACTGGCCAGGTGTGGTGGCTCACGCCTGTAATCCCAGCACTTTGGGAGGCTGAGGCAGGTGGATCACAAGGTCAGGAGATCGAGACCATCCTGGCTAACATGGTGAAACCCCATCTCTAATAAAAATAAAAAAAATTAGCCGGGCGTGGTGGCAGCTGCCTGTAGTCCCAGCTACTTGGGAGGCTGAGGCAAGAGAATGGCATGAACCTGGGAGGCAGAGGTTGCAGTGAATCGAGATTGCGCCACTACACTCCAGCCTGGGTGACAAAGTGAGACTCTGAAAAAAAAAAAAAAAAAAAAGAATCACTTTTACTGAAATCTCATTCTGATTGTTTTTACAAATATTGAAGAAATTTCCAGACCTTAGTTTTCAGAAAATCAAAGCTAAGATACACTACTCCTCCGAAAATTAAACAACTTAATCAAAGAATTTTCATGGGTCTTCTTTACCTGATTTAGTAAAAAGATTTAATCCAAAATAATACATAATATAAAAATTATACTCTATCATATAAACAAATTAGGAGGAGTAAGTTAAAAACACTTTGCAATATATAACAACATAAAATTCATTTTGATTTTTGAAAAAAGGTCTAAAATATACCGTCTTGCTGTCTCCTTTTCTCCTCTCTGCGCTCTCTTGCTAATCTTTGTTTTATGTCATTTTTAAGCATGGATCCATCGATTACTAAAAAAAAAAAAAAAAAACAGAATATAGTTAGATATTAATAGGATATCAAAGTTTAAAGATATGACACTTTGACATCTATCAAAGCATCAGAGAAATTATACCTGGTTTAAATGTCGATCTTATATTTGAGGAATGGGTTGCAACACGATTAACCACACCTTGCTTCCTCCTTTCCTTAGCAATCTCGTTTGCTGCAGCAACTAAAATACAGAGATAAGGAATTAGATGTTAAGAATACGAATAGCTAACACAGGAGTCAGCAAACCACGGCCAGTTGTATTTGATGATAAAGGATAGGATCACTTCTATAAATCATGCCTGATTTCATCTGGGTCAACAACAAAGATATATTGAACACCTATGATCTTCAACAATACTTTAACAAAGAATTTAAAGTGTTTACTAAGATGGGCCAGGGTATTTGCAGACATAAAGATAATTGAGTTGTTAGTGGCGGTGGCAGCATAAGCTTGTGGATGAGTAGGAGCCAATGATTAATAGATCTCAAAAATGTCTCAAACGAAACATTACACCAAGTGTTAGAAAAACTGAGCTGGCACGGAATTGGAAAAACTAAGCTTCACCATAAATTGGAAATTCAGAAGATAACAGGTTAAGAATTTATGGATCTGAATCGGGAAGCAAAGTGTTAACAGTGAAATACTCAGTGAAAGATCAGGCCCAACCAATGTTAAGGAGTACACTTATAAATTACCTAAATCAGGGGCTTTCTACCCTGATTGCACACTGGAATCACCTAACTCACTTTTAGAAAATCAGCAATGCCTGCCTGCCCGCTCCCCACCACCAGTCTCTGGGTGTGGGGCCCAGGCATATACAGTTGTTAAAAGCTCTATTCTGATGCATATTGAAGGTGGAGAAATAAACAGGCTTTGAGAAAAAGTAATCTCCAATGAGATGGTATCATTCTAGGTAGATGTCAAGCAAACAAATATAAACTGTACAAGGTGCAAACAAACGTGTAAACAGGCAGAAAAGTGATAAACTTCGATAAGGGTTAAGTGTAAGATTAGGAAAGCACAGTATGAGGAAAAGCAAGAAAACTAAAATTCCAGGATGACACACATGAGTTATTATAGGGGAATCCCTGAACCCTTTAATTCCACATATGGCTATATCTAAAATGCCCCACAATACTGAGCATCTTCAAAAAGAGTATGAAAACTAACTCTTCTTCCCTTGTAGAAATGCACAGGAGGTAAGCCCCTGTGATGCTGCATACAAGTCTGGTTTCTATGTATTAAGAAAAATATAACGGTTGAAGATGGGCAGTTAAAGTAACTGAGGGAATAGAGGGGCTGTCCTTGGACTTATAAAATGAATGAACTCTGAGGTGTTAATTGCCACTGAGGGAGTTATTTTACAGCATAACTTTGAAAGTGACATCACAATTGCTGCCATAAGGATCACCATTTTTTTTTTTTTTAACCCCAGGGGCTGAACAGCCCAGATAATATATCACCTAGCCTAATTTGAAGACGAGACTCTTCTCAGCTTCCTTAATAATTTAACTACTGGCAATTCCATGGACCACAATTATTTTCTGAATTTGAGCACTAGTATATTAACAAAAATTCTTAGTCTATAGACACTCCTATATACCCACTTGCAACATTTTTATGTGAGCACAGAGAAAACAATAAAGTACTTGTAGTATTGTTTTTACACATTCAGTTCTCCAGTTTAGAAGTCCTAAGGATAGTCTGTATTTGACATTATTTAGCTGATAATTTCTCTCAAAATCTACATTTTTGGCCCAGAGTGGTGGCTAATGCACGTAATCCCAGCACTTTGGGAGGCCAAGGCAAGTGGATCACTTGAGGTCAGGAGTTTGGAACCAGCCTGGGCAACATGGCAAATCCCCATCTCTATAACAATATAAAAATTAGCTGGGTGTGGTGGTGCACACCTGTAGTCTCAGCTACTCAGGAGGCTGAGCCCAAGAGTTTGAGGCTGCAGTGAGCCTTTAGCATCCCACTGCACTCCAGCCTGGGCGACAGAGAGAGACCCTGTCTCAAGAAAAGTACATTTTTACCAGGCTAATTAAAAATCTTACTAAACAGAAATAACCTTAGAAGTAGCTGTGGTGAGAATAATGAACCAAATCATATAAAGGTTAATGTAGAAGTAGTATCAAATCTGATTTTTAGAACTTTGTATTCAAATTCCTACTGGTAAGAAATACATTAACAGAAAGGACAGGGTTTAAAAATTATTTAAAATGTCCAGAAAATGGGATAACACCTTTATGTCTGGATATATTAAAGTCAACATTTTATTCAACTTCATTGAATGGAAGAATTTACTTAACATGCATTTAAATGAATGAGGGAATTTACTTAATATTCAGTTAAAAGTAACAGCAAGGTATTTCTGTAGTCCTTATACTAATTTTAAATCCAAAATTAAAGTAAAAGCTATATTTTGTCCAGAGATTAAATAAGAAAATGTGTAGTTTATTACTAAAACTGAATTATGAATCTTAATCTGTATTTATGGAACTTTTCTAAAAACGTCCATAACACATATTGTATATCATGTCACCATTTACAAAGCTCATTTGTATTACTTTTTTGAGACAGAGTCTCACTCTTTCACCCAGGCTAGAGTGCAGTGGTGCATCTCGGCTCACTGCAAGCTCCGCCTCCTGGGTTCATGCCATTCTCCTGCCTCAGCCTCCCGAGTAGCTGCGACTACAGGCGCCTGCCACCACACCCGGCTAATGTTTTGTGTTTTTTTTTAGTAGAGACGGGGTTTCACCATGTTAGCCAGGATGGTCTCGATCTCCTGACCTCGTGATCCGCCCGCCTCGCCTCCCAAAGTGCTGGGATTACAGGCGTGAGCCACCGCGCCTGGCCTACTGCATGTAATTCTTACAACAATCCTATAAAGTGAACATAATTATTTTCCCCAATTTTTTTTTTTAACAGTTGAGGAAACTGAAGCTAAACATAACTTTCCCAATTCACACAAGTAGTAAGTGGTGAAGCCAGAACTTGATTTAACTGTAAATTTCAAAGCAACTTTATTTTGAAATATTAAGAAAAAATAACAGGAAAAGAAATCTGCCATCAGCGAACCATAAAAATCAGGCAGATTCACAGAATTTTGCCTCAAATAGCAAAAGCCAAAGTCATAGGGCTGAGACTTTCAGAAGACCTCCAAGTTCAAACCGAAGATAGCTGTCTTGAAGACAAAATTGGAGACAATTTTCTACAATTTAGAGCTGTCTACAATGGAATGGCTACTTGGAAAAATATTAAGCTCCTCATGAGAGTGCCCATTCAAGTGGCAGAAGTGCCCCCAGGGTTTTACAGCTGGGACTCTGGATGCCTGACAAGATAATCTTAAGGTTTCTCCAACTCTAAAATTCTATGATAATCTGGCTGTCAATTTCAGTAACTTTTTCTGCATTGGTAGAAATTATTCTTTGAATAAGTTATTCTAAACTGAGAAACACTGGTGAATTTAGAAAAACAAGAAGGGAAAGGTGATATGTCAGTGGCAAGTTTCTTACGCTCATCTGGTTGAAATATTCAAATTAATTTTTATTTTAAAACAATTCTGCATAAAATATAAACACATGTGTTTTGTTAAAATATTCAGTATGTTACAACCTCAGCACAGTGCTATGCACAGAAAACATCACTTGACAAATATATATTTACACTTTATATGTAACACACACATATATATATACATGTATCTGTTGAATGCATACACAAATGTATAAAATAAATGTATTTTGACTGTGCTGTGCATTTATATGTTATGTATTCAAGACAGTTTTAACTCTTGCTGACAGGCTCCCAACAGAAGATGAAAACAACATTTTAGCAAAAACATCTTCTCCTTGACCCTTTCAGGAAAACGCTGAGATCTAAAGGGCAGTTCTGGTCAAGTTGGTGCTCTGTGAAAAAAGTCTAACGTGCGATATTTCCAATTCCTAACATGAAGTGGGCAGCAAGGATTTAAACCAGGGTTCTAGGTTAAGACTTCTACGTGGCTGTTAAGTTTTTGGTTTGAAATGCTGTGAATTCAAGTATCTGTCCCATATATAATTTTAAAACACTTTCCAACATCTGATACACAATTGTTTTTAGGGGTTTATCCGGCTCACAACTTCTTCACCATATTGGAGTAATGCTGGTTAATCTAAATCACTGAAATAAACCAGTGTCTGAGAGCCACGGGTACCAATAAGCAACACAATTTATTGGAGACTCTCTTTCTAGGTGAACCATAAGTTTAGACACGGAAGGAAGATTCTTTTCTCCCTGATGAATGGTGAAAGTGTATGTAGTATATGCTTCTGACACAGTCTTTGGAGAGCTGATTCAAAGTCTTCTCAAGTGACATACAGCTTCCCAGTCGTAAACAATCTAACTTTTTAATTGCAAATGCAAAAAAAACCCCTAACAAATTCAATTAAAAGTAATAAAATCGTTTTATTCACGCTCATAGCAGAGGGAACTAGTCTAACAGGCTAAAGGCAACCTCCTGCAAGGAAGAAATCCTCTCTCAGGTAGTGGAGCAGTCTCCTGGACCAAGCAATGCGCTGTCAAATTGTGTAAGATTAACGGTTTTCGAGGAGAGAAAAACTTTTTGGCGATGGGACCCGTTGAGGAAAAAGCACTCTGAAGTGCTGATTCTCGTTCAGTTCAGCCTAGGGACTGCAAGATGTCCCACGGAAGATGACATCTTGTCTAAGTCATGTGCTACAGCAGGCAAATCAGGAGATGCAAAGAGCCAAGTTGCATCCCAACTTTTAAATCAACTTTTAAGTATCCCCACCCTCACCCAGCTTCTTCCCTGAACCTTGACTGGGAGGGTGCAGGAGGTAAGCCTTTGGGAGAGGCAAGGACTACGACAGTAAAAGCGCCTAAACTCGCCACGACCCGGGCTGGGGGATAACTCAAATTTTCCGTGCCTGGAAAGGCTGCCTGGCCACGGAGGCGGCGCCGGCGCGCGGAGTCCCCGCGGGCGCCCGCACATCCCAGGCAGCTGCGCGTTCGTTGGGGCGGCTGCGCGGGCGGCCGCCGCCCCCCAAGGGCAGACGGGGCTCGGGGCGGTCCGCGGGGTCCGGGTTCCAGCCGCCCCCGCCCCACCCGTCGAAGCAGAGCCTGTGAGTTCCCTCGCGCCGCGTCCGCGGGGCTTAGACCGTTGGCAGCGGCAGTTCGACCGTTGGCGGCGGGACTCAGGCGGCTCGCGGCGTCGGCAGACCATTTCAACCCCCCACCCCCGGCCCAAGGCTACTCCCTGTCCCGTCCCAGGGCACTCCGGCGGGGGTGAGGGGAGGACCGGATAGCACGAGGCGACTCCAGGGAAAAGTTTTGTGGCCCCCGCTGCGCCGCTCCGACGGCCCGGGGGCTGCTGGAGGACCACCTCCCACGCGGGCCCGAACCACCCTCGGGAGCCGCCCGCCCGCTCACCCATCCGTGCCCGCAGCTCTCTCAAAGATGTGCTGCCGCCAGCGCCAGCGGCGGCGCCGTCCGCCATCATCGGAGTCGGAACCGGAGGCGGTGGTGGCTCTCCGCATACATTGCGCAGGCGTCGGCGCGACCTCCGCTTGGGTCTTGGCCTGGCTGCCGGTAGGCGGGGCGGGGCGGGGCCCAAAGGGCCACCGCGCCCGCCTCGGACCTGCGAACCAGGCAGGATTGCCCCTTGCGTCCCACGTCCTGACCGGCTGGGCAGCGACTGCCTGGTCTAAAGAAACCCTCTCCTACGTTCCGTGCTCTGCCCCTACTGCATTGTGGGGACTAGCCAATCAGCACCCAGCTTGGCCCCCAACATTCCTTTCTTCACCTTTACCTAGCAACGCAGTAACATTTCTTCGTCATTCATTCATTCATTTAAAGAGCATTTACGGCGTGCCTCCTGGGTGCACTTGTATCGTGAGTTTACTAGTCCTTGAAACACTACACAAAGAAAGACCCAAGTTGGGGGAAGAGGCCCAAGGAGAGGATGAGAGTGGCAGGGTTGCTTTGAGGTGCTAGGGGCCCCATCTTGAGTGGACTTCCCTAAACTGTTGCGCAATAAATCATGATACATAGGTCTCAAAGTTGGGTGAAATATCTTTAAGATGTTTGTGAGTCTTTAAAGAGAGGCAGAGGACTTATTGGCGTCAATCTCTCCGGATTTTGGGAGAGACTCTACCAGGTTGCAGAATGTTTTTCCCATTCACAAGGAAAGCCGTAATTGGCCTGAGGCTCCTTTAAGGGGCAGACCTCACTTCATGGGCGCTTGCCTTTATGAGGTGGAGTCACCACTGTTGTGAGTGTGTGCGTGGTGACACAGTTGTAGGGACCCAGTTTATGGTTGGGGCCATTAAGTGTGGTGCAGGAGATCCCAAAATGGGGCAGGACCACTTGTGAGATGGGCACTTTGGCGAGCCCACTGAGTCTTCAAATGACATAGGAACTATAAAATGGAAGAAGCTAATAATAGCATATATTACATATGTTAGCAATGATAGTATATGTTACATATATTAATATATAATATATGTAATATAATATGTAATATAGGGGCAGACATGGTGGCTCATGCCTGTAATCCTAGCATTTTGGGCGAATGAGGCGGGTGGATCATTTGAGGTCAGGAGTTCGAGACCAGCCTGGCCAACATGGTGAAACCCCGTCTCTACTAAAAATACAAAAATTAGCCAGGCATGGTGGCGGGCACCTGTAATTCCAGCTACTCGGGAGTTTGAGGCAGGAGAATCGTTTGAACCCGGGAGATGGAGTTTGCAGTGAGCCGTGATAGCGCCACTGCACTCCAGCCTGGGTGACAGAGCGAGACTCTGTCTCAAAAAAAAAAAGAAAAACAAAAACAAAAACAAAAGATGAAAAAAAAAAGACATTATGTTATGTTGCGCCTACAGATGTAACAAAAATTAAAACGTGGTCAATAAATGTTTGCAATGATGTGGGTTAATACAAGTTGGGGGCCAGGCACGGTGGCTCACACCTGTAATCTCAGCACTTCGGGAGGCCGAGGTGGGTGGATCACCTGAAGTCAGGAGTTCAAGATCAGCCTGGCCAACATGGGGAAACCCCATCTCTACTAAAAATGCAAAAATTAGCCGGGCGTTGTGGCAGGCCCCTGTAATCCCAGCTACTTGGGAGGCTGAGGCAGGAGAATCACTTGAACCCAGGAGGTGGAGGTTGCAGTGAGCCGAGAGCTGCCACTGCACTCCAGCCTGGGCAACAGAGGGACACTCTGTCTTGAAGGAAAAAAAAAACAAAAAACCTAGTGGGGAAAATAAACAGTTTGGCATTATAACTTCCGAAACTCTGCTTCTAAGTAAATACAGAGATTAATGCTTTGCATGATATCCAGGATGGTAGCCATCCATGTTTATTAATACGACACACATATGATTAGGGTGCCCACAAAACACACATGCACAAATGCAAGTTCAGCTTTCATGATCTTATCTGGAACTCCACAAACAGAAAATTTAGCAAAACACATCAGCTTTGTAGTTTCTTGCAAAAATGTTGAACCCATATCTAATAATGAAGAAACCTTCAGACAGAGGTAGAGACTGTGATATAGTCTACAAAACTGGCCCCAATGCTTCAAAATATTAGTGTCATGAAAGACTAACAACAAAAATCAGAGAAGTGTTCCAGATCACAGGAGGCTAAAGAGACCACATGCAATGAATGATCCTTGATTAGAACCCTAATTTTCAAAAGAAGCTTTAAAAGGCATACATTACTGGCATAATTAGAAAATTTGAATGAACTGTATGGTACATGATATTGTATCAAGGTGAAATTTCTTGGGTATGGGAATGATGTTGTAGTCACCTAGGAAAATGCACTTCTTCTTAAGAAATAAATAGTCACGCCTGTAATCCCAGCACTTTGGGAGGCCAAGGCCGGCACATCACTTGAGCTCAGGAGTTCCAGACCAGCCTGGCCCAACATGGCGAAACCACATCTCTACAAAAAAATAAAAACACAAGACAAAAACCCAAAAATTACCTGAATGTGATGGTGCATACCTGTAATTCCAGCAACTCGGGAGGCTAAGGCAAGAGAATTGCTTGAACCCAGGAGGCGGAGGTTGCAGTGAGCTGAGATTGCCTACTGCACTCCAAGCCTGGGAGACAGAACGAGACTTCATCTCACACACACACAAAAAGACATAAATGTTGAAGAATGTAGGGGTAAAGATTTGAGGTTTTTCAAAATAAGGAGTTAGATAATTTTTTCTTTATTTTTTGAGATGGAGTCACACTCTGTCACCTAGACCGGAGTGCAGTGGTGCAATCCTGGCTCACTGCAACCTCTGCCTCCTAGATTCAAGCGATTCTCCTGCCTCAGCCTCCCGAGTAGCAGGGATTACAGACCTGCACCCCCATGCCCGGCTAATTTTTGTATTTTTAGTAGAGACGGGGTTTTGCCATGTTGCCCAGTCTAGTCTCCAACTCCTGAGGTCAAATGATCCACCCTCCTTGGCATCCCAGAGTGCTGGGATTACAGACGTGAGCCACTGTGCCCAGCCGAGTTTTTTTCAATCTAGAAGTTTGTCTTCAACTTATTTGTAAACATTGTCACTTTGAAAAATAAAATTTGATTGGGAATTACACATGGGGAGGCACCCTACTAGTCTTTTCAGTGTTTAGAGCCTCTAAAGGCCTCAGTCTAGCCAGGGTGTAGGAGGAAGAGGGGAGATAAGACATCCAGAAATAACCATATACAGGTGGCATGAGTAGGATTTAGGTGAGTAACTGAAACGGGTTCCAAGGGCTAAAAGGGATGAGAAATCAGTCCTGTTTAGAGTGATCAGATAAGTCTTTGTGGAAGAATTAGCACTTATTCTGGGCCTGAGATGGGGACTGTGGGAACCACCTCCAAAAGCAAGTAACCACGCCTTAATTCCAGCCCACGGTCGCTGAGTGGGGAGATGGGCCCATTTGTGGCCAGATATTCCCATTTTTCAGAATAAACTGGAAATCTGGATCTTAATGTAAAATCTATTTTTAAATGATGACATTAAAAGAAAAAAAAAAAAAAAGGCTGAGTGCGGTGGCTCATACCTGTAATCCCAGCACTTTGGAAGGCCAATGCGAGCAGATCACCTGAGGTGAGGAGTCCTAGACCAGCCTTGCCAACATGGTGAAACCCTGTCTCTACTAAAAAATACAAACATTAGCTGGGCATGGTGGCACGTGCCTGTAATGCTAGGTACTCTGGAGGCTGAGGCAGGAGAATCACTTGAACCCGGGAGGCGGAGGTTGTGGTAAGCCGAGATTGTGCCACTGCACTCCAGCCTGGGCAACAAGAGCAAAACTCTGTCTCAAAAAAAAAAAAAAAAAAAGAAAAGAAAAGAGAAAGAAAGAAAGAAGGAAGAAAGGAAGGAAGAAAAGAAAAGAAAAAAAGAAAAAACATGGTGCAGGGCAGTGTTCAAATTTCCAAATTGCCTCATTTAAAAAATCGTTGCATAAAAATTCAAACAAGGTCCATACATTGCATTATTTGATATGCCTTTTAATCTATAGATATAACTTCTTTCTCTCTAACATCATTGGTATATTACTGTGAGATTTAGCATTCATTTAGTAGGTAAATTATTCAATCTATCTTTTATTAACCACCTACTCTGTGACTAGCAGTGTGGGGACAAATACATACGGAAGGAATCCTGCCCTCTAGGGCCCCCAATCTCATTGATTCTAAACTAATGACTTATATCAGGGTCCCTTTAGATGTTTCTTTGGGGCTGCAGAAGCTCACCAAGGAGCTCCCATGAGAATGTACATTTCTGAGAAAAAAATATTGGAACTGAAAGCTGTCAGCTTGGGGAAAGTGGAGTGTATTCTGTAGCCAAAACAGACTCAGAACTGGGAAAGAACCCAGGCGGCAGCTTTCCTCTCCTCTCCTCCCCGTATTTGGAAAGCATGTGTTCCCCAGCGAGCAGAGAACTGGAATCCTGCTCGCTTTTTCTTCCTTCTAGGCTATTTTTTCCCCTTAAACTTTACACCCTTGGGAAAAACATTCAGAAACCCAGTCATAATAGGTCTAGAAATTGCCACATTTGTTTCTATTAAAAGATGAAGTTTTTTTAAAAATTGAATTTACATATAATAAACATTTAGTGAGCTTACCAATCTAGCAAATTTGCATGCAAACTGCCGCCACCGCAGCCCTGTACTATGAGTTTTAAGCTTACCAGCCATGCGATGGCTTTTTCTCTCCATCCTGAACGACCTGTTAGATTCCTTGTCACATACACAGTTGAGACAAGGCTCTGGTTTTGTGTTCTTTCTCCTCTCATCGCTTACTCTTGTCCTGCATCTGTTGTAGCTTGACTGTGATGCCCGGAAAGAGTGATGTTTCCTTCTGGACTCATTTCTTGCCAAATCGACTCACATTTTCCTTCCTTTTCCCACATCTGCGCTTTCTTCCCTCCTAAGTTACAGACTTGCCTCAGGGCCTGGTCATGTCTCACTTGGTTGATGGCAGCCTTCTCAGCTCTGGAATTCCCGCTGAAGCACTGCCCCCCTGCAACTGACACTTCAGTACCCCTCCTTCCTGTGGCACAGAGGACCAGGGTGACCCCGCTGTCTAATTTCTGCAGGCTGCTCTGTACCATCTCCTTTTAGGTCCTCCCTGGGGTGGAGGGGTTGATTTTCATTGCCTGAGCTCACCAGGGAGGGGGCAGTCAACTTCTGAGGAGAGGAAAGAGAG